TGCTCGTGTATACAGGGTGATCCTCGTGAAATGTTACAAGCGTTTTTTTCCGCGTGGAAAACTGTTGACTGTTAGAGGTGGAATTCTTTTTCGGTCATTTGAAATTCGTCGGGAGCTAGGTGTCTCGAGACGAATGCAGCTCCGTCGCCGCTGGATCCGCCGTGGAATAAAAAGCAAGCGTCCTTATTCTTTCAAATTGAAAGTGCTTTTTTCGAAGGTAAATCGAGTTCTCGTCAGGCTGAATGTAAATTAGATGAGATCCTCGTCAGGTGCAAGTGGATATTTTACGAGACTTTCATATTTCATATCGACACTTTCTAACATAGAAATATGACTTATCTCGTAAAATATACACTTTCCGATGATTCTTCGATACTTACACAGTTCAATACTTCAATAGTTATTTATACATAAGACACGATAAAACGAATCGATTTCTGACACGTTTCAAGTTTCAAGAATAGCTCTGCCTAACTGTTAATAGTGCTTTTAATAGTGCTTTTAAATGATTAATCACTAGCCAAAAAATCACTTACAGTATTAAATTTCTATAAGGGTGGCGATTAAATTTAAGTGAGGATCCGCGAAAATACAGAACGCTAACTTCATGTCGGTACGTGAAGAAGTAATATCGTTTTATTCAGTATCGAATTGAATCATAATACTTCACGACAAGGAGGTTCTTAGCCACTTCCAGAGAGAATCTCCAAGAAAACGTCCCGTTTGGGGTTATTGCCTAATCTGTTATTAAAAAGATAAGCTTCAACGTGAAAACTTTATTGACATTTCGCGCGTCAGATTCGCTCCCTCCGTTTGATGAAAATTTCAATGGCGCCGCGGCAAGTGAGAGCGCAGAGATAACCGCGTTCCGCGAATCGAGATAAAGAGGAGGAGAGGGAAGGGGATGTTAGAGAGATCCGAGCTCGTAAATAAATCACCGTTCGATATCGTGCGATTTATTATCGAGGCGTCAAGTCGCGTGACGGATTTGTCTCACCGCGACGATTATGGTCGTTCCGGGTGCATTTATGGCACGCATCCGGGCAATGCACCACCACCTACGAGAAGCACCGTTCGAGAATTCGGTTCCGCTGTTCTTCTCCGTGATTACCCTGGACCCGCCGCGAACAGATTTCCCCGTAAGCGCCCGCGCTCGGCCGCCTTCGGTTCCGCTTCCCCCGCGGCGCGGCGGCGCGGCGGCTCGTCCGCGACGCAGGATCGTGCTTAAGCACGCGCGAGTCCCCGCCGATATCCAGAGTTCCAGAGCCGAACTGTTGATCCAGACTTTTAAATATCATAACATATGCTTGATATATAAAATGTATTATATACTGTAAATATATCTAATAATGTATTTACAGCATATGTGATATACCTATATATGTATGTTATATTATAATATGTTATAATATTGTATAGAAGTCTGTGTAGGTAGACTCGTTCTTAACAACTAGGTACTTTAATTAGTCCCTAATCGAATACTCTCGCGGAAACTATACAACTTTGTCGATAGGTACTTTCGCTCGCGATTGGAATGCTTCGACGAAGCTTCGTATCAAGTGTTGAAAAGTACTGGACAAGATAGAAATCAAAATTAATAGATGACCGTTTGTTGAAGACCGTTCTCAGACGTTTACATTGACTTACATTGATTTCTTTACATATCGCCCAGTTAGTAGATTACGACATACTTTTAAGTACACCGAAGAGCTTCGATCCTATAGACATGGAACACGCCACTATTGTTCTTCCAATATCAGATAAATATCAAAATATTATTTAACTCTAACTGACGACTCCAACTTGTTAACGGAATTTCTAAAAATAAAGAACAAAATATCGTTGTATCGAAAGAGAAAAAAATGTTAAAAATCTTTTTCTTCAGCGACACTTTGTTCATATTGAAAATTTTATCAATAAATTTGGACCATTAAAGTTAACCACGGTAAAAATAGCGGCCCGCATAATCAACTCCGAACTTTCGTTGCAACAACGGATAAACAAAATGGCGAGAACGCGAGCTGGAAGCCGAATGCGGCACGGAATCGCGTGAAATATAGCAGAATTCTCCGATGTGACTGTGCCATGCCTCCCCCGCATCAAAGTCTTCTTGATCTCGGCGGTTTATCGTCGCGGGGTTCGCGCGACGCGTAGAGCCGGCTCTGTTTCCTGGCCGAAGACCGGCTCTCGCAACATCGGGCGTCTAAGCGGCTCGCCGGCGGGCGGCCGGGCGATGCCCATCGACCACGCGGTTACGAACCGCGTGTATGCCTTTGTGTTGATAGCTGCGTGCGCGCATCGACGACGACGACGACGTTTGCGAATAGAAAACTCCTCGGCGGCCGTCCTGAGGAGAGTCGCATGCTCGTGAATAAGACTTTTGCGTTCCGCCTCGTACCTGCGAGGCCGTCGTCGTCGCCGCGCGCTGCCCTAAGTAAATATTCCGGAATGTTCTGGAATATTGTTGTAAAAGGACGTCACCTGTAAAACGAAAAGATAGATATCGAAAGAGACTCCCGGAGATGGTAAGCGAGGTCGAAAAAATTCTGAGAAATTACTTAGAACCCGAGCGCGTACGCGGACTTGTTTATCTTCCGGGAATTGTCTCGCCCGCGGCGCATCGAAAACAAGTAAGCGGGAGCGAGCGAGACGGGGAACGTATTACGAAGTTGAATTTATAACTGTAATTGGAAAAAGATATCAAACGTATGTGCGGTTAAATATGTATTGCGTATACATTAAATTTGCGAATTTCCTGGGAGCTCAACGCGACCGATAATGGTCGGAAAATTTCATGTATCAACATTGGCGTGATCAATAATTGCTGGTAATATCGCTCGTCGCGTATAAACGCGTTTTGTAGATTACCCAAAAACCCTTTATCTCGCGGTGGACGCGTATTACGTTTTACAAATTCATCAAAGAACTGGGTCATGAAGGAATTATGATTTAAAATCGGATTGCGGAATATACATCGGCTCTTATCCGCCGGAATATTTTATAAAATATAAGTTGCGCGGTATAGAGGGATCGCGAGAGAGCTACCTCTTCCCTCCCGTTTTCCGAGGCACAGGCGAGTTTCGAGCTTTATTTGTTGCCGAAATGGTCGACTTCATAAAATGTCTCTCCGCGCTCCGTCTCGAGCGCCGCGCGCGAGGTAAGTTCCTGGAAGGAACCGCGCCGCCGCCGGGGCCGACCAGATAAACATTGTCGATCCCAAGTATTTTCCCCGAAACTTTCTCGACCTCGTACTCTCTCAGGAATATTTTCCAAGTTCCTCTATTTCTCCCCCGAGCAGCGCGCGCACGCTCATCGCGCGCCTTTGTCACCGTCTCGATGATCCGCGCGGTGCCAACACCCGCCGAAGGACGTCGGATCCGCCTCGACAGCTGCGTTTCTAGCATTGAAAGGCACTTATCCAAGATACTTGTCGCATTTTTTTCCCTTTCCTCGAGCCTCTCCCGCCCGGAGAGGGTCTCCACGTGGAGACGTGCCGGCCGCGTATCGCTCAAGGATCCACGACACCTGCGGAAAAAAATGGGAGAAGTCGCCCTTCGGGCGACGGTGTTTGCAGCGCAATCGGAAGACGGGTAGTGGTATCAAGTGATAACGGGAGACGGCGGAATGAAAGGGCGACTGTGTGTGACACCCGCGCGCGTACCGGAATTCGAGCGAACAATCGCGCGGGCACCCCCCGACCCACCCCTTCCGCGCGCGCGCGCAAGTAACCGGAAACTACCCGGCAACGGAGATACAACGCGTGACGTGCGCGGCTTTGTTCGCTTTACGAGCGTTTCTTTCCTTCGTTTATTTTATTTTATTTTTTTACGCGGCCTGATTAATCTCGTTCTGCGACTAATCGCGTGACACGGCGACCAATCGAGACGAACGTGACGGCGGAAACGAGCCCGAGTTTTCCCTCCGCGATAAATCGCACTGACAGCCTTAACCGATTCTTAATGGTGATCCCTGTTTCCATCTTGTCGGCGGTCCAATTAAGATATACACGGTGCCCCAGAAGAGAGATACGCTTAATCTTGATCACGCGTTTCCGAGATCAAAATCTCGGGGAGTTTTTTTTTCTCGGGAAAAATTTCAGGGTGATTATTCGTCGCGGCCTATTAATGTCCAAAACGATTGAGCGTCTTGATACTTCGTTTCCTGTCATTTTTTTTTCCTCGCCGGAAATGCGACTCAATTTCACGCAGCTTGAGAACCGTCCGTAGCGCGGCTTTTAGTCGAAGAAAAATTGGTATGTGGCATTGGTCGGCAAGAGAGCAGAGTCGTTAAAACAATAGTGGCGGTACACCCCGTAGATGAAGTAACAAAATTTAATTAATCGAGGTTAACGCCGATCGGCATCGCTGCAACCGGTCCTAACCGCCCATCATATTACTCTGCAAGATAACCGCTGTCGTTAGCATGACCAGATAAATATATTGTCGCTGAATATTGTCAGGTAACTCGGGCGTAACCACATTTTCGCACTCCATTTTTATCGATACGGGAGTCTCGTTACTTTCCCTATGTCGCGCGCATTAATTACAAATAATGGTTTTTCGCACTGTCGCTTGTTCGACCATTTAATAAATAGGATAAATAGGATAAGCCATAAGGAGTAGATTAATAAGGCAATAACACGTACGGAGAACCGGTTGCAGCGTTTATGTAACGTAACTGTGTGAATAATGCACCCGTGTAATCGTATATTGTGTGCGAAGTAAACATTGGAGATAATAAGACTCAGATTCCAATATAGGCAGATTAATGGCAGGCAAGTATTTATATAACATTCTATAAAGAGCACAACCGCGTTCTATAAAGAGCACATACTCCTGCTATAAAAACCGAACTAATTTGATTTTAAATCTTTAAGAAGCTCACACACGTCTGGCGCGATTGTATCTTGTATCTAAATTGTATCGCATTATTAATCACATTTATGTAAGTCGCGTCGCTTCTTTTCTTTACATAGATCGAGTGGATTTAACCATGCAAAATTATAAAGTCTCATTCATGCGGTTGCAGCCGCACAAGTCAGAATCGGAGCTCGAGTCGTTGCTACCGCTGGCTTCAACGTTGGTCGTTCGAAATACTTCCCGTCGAAGATCGTCCGTTATGTCCGATCGTTCATCGGCGGACGACAAGTAATCCAAAAGGTCGGCAACAATTTCACGACGTGGCCTGTTGAAAAATGTACCTACAACCTCGGGAATATCGATGAGCGGCTGCTTCGATAGGACGTGCCTGCGAGAGCAATTTTAATGACGTATCATTAATCTCGAACGATATTCTCGTCGCGTATTAAATATTATAATTGGCGTTTCGCGCTTTTTATGAAATTATTATTAAAAGAAAGGCACAAATTAAATATAAATCTCCATATAGTGACATGTAGGTAAACAACTGTAATAAAGCGTAAGTATAACGAAATAATTACAATAAAATTAAGTATAAATTTAAACAAAGAGAGAGAGAGAGAGAGAGACTTTTTTTAAAGCAATTATAAATTATTATTAGACACTTGCGAGTACCTCAGTAAAATACCGATAAAGCCTCTAATTTCCGGGTGTGATTTAAGATAAATTTCGTTTTCCTTTCGAGTGTTCATTTTCATTTCGTTCAAAGCTTGTTTCTGATCTCTCGTTAGTGCGCCCACATCGTAATTTTGCATGCCGTGCGGCGGATCCGCGGGATGAAAAGCATTTCGGGCTTTAAAAGGCTGGTCGGACATAATGATCACCGAAATATCTCTTGACAAGGGAGTTCGCGCTAACGAAGCGTGCTTGTCGCGCGTAATATCTCCGCGTATGTCAAATTTCAAATTATTACTTCGTATATATAATATTTTTTGTATTTGTTCATGCGCAAATCGCGCGCAGACGCGACGCGACAAGATCCGTAAACAGGAGGTAACTTGACCGACAAAAAAATTTGACGCATATAAATTAGCTTTTGTTTTAACGCAAAATAACATACACGAATCTGCACACACACACACACACACACACGCACACGCGATGCAACGGCACGGCATAAATATTGATGCAATCTATGACAGCGATACCCAGGCGATGACTCACGTCACGTCCATGTATATACTTGTGAAGATTAGCTAACTATAAGCCTTTCTAGTTAACAGCTTTGTGTGGAAAACCCAAGATGAACAGCTATGTACACACGGTTAAAAAATACATACGAAATGTTAACAATAGAGATAAAAATAAAAATCGACCTCAGCATAGATAATATTTTAATATATGCAATTAAAATAATTACTAGTAATAAATCGACAATAATGTCTCGCACACAGAGGTATATCATACGAGGTGTATCATATTTTTTCCTTTATATGCTCGTGAGAGGACGTATGTACATGGAAAAAACATTATCAGTTCAAACGTACGTTTTAATTGCGTCTATAAATTGTTCACATTTTGTATGTGAATGTTGATCATGGATATGTTTTCGTCCTGATAGATTTTTCCGAGTTTGCGTCAAATATTTTTCTACATTTTTGCATATCAATTTATTTCCAGATCGTGCTCTTGCATTCTAAAATAATATAGAGCAGTGTGCTCGAATAGTATTCTCGCGAAAAATATGCATTTGTCGTATTTATAATAAAGTATTGCAAGTTAGTACACAAGTCATATTTATATCAAACCGCTATATTTAATTATCGACTACCGAATCGCATGAGCTAGTTGTTATATTAATCTTTTTATCTCTCCTATATATTACACGCTATCTATTACGCGCGCGCGATACAATATCTATCCTTTATCACATTCTCAGAAATGTCTGATCCCGATATCGTAGTTGATTTAAGAGAACTATTATGATTCTCTTTTTCTTTGTTTTTGTTTTTTGTCATGTCGTACCGCGGACGAGGACATTAAATCAATATGTCTTTAATAAATAGGCCCGTAGGTCGTTATCGATTCCACCTGATCGTTATTGCGCCATCGAGAGGATCGTGATTCAAGATAATTTCTTCCAGCAAGTCCCATTTGCTGTTAATTGGCTTGTTTATTCTCCCATATTTGACTAGATATTGGAATTTCTATAATACACGCGATATTCGCACGAGAATCTCGTTATCTACCTAATACTGGGTAGAAAATAAAGAATATATCTCTCGTACATATTTTCGAGTTATATTTCAACCTGTTAGCATACAGGGGGGCTTTCCCTCGAGGAGAGAGAGAATCACGTTCTTATTGCGTCTTTCCGAGGTGCGGAAGATCGCGTCCGTAAAAAGCGCCCGCCTGATGTATCGCTCGCGTTGTACACTAACAGGTTAATATTCTACAGTCTACACGTTGTAAAAACGGGAAAAAAAAAATAATACGAGCGGGGGCGAGTGATGGGGCGCGTCGCGCGAATACGGTAATTAAAATGCCCCGGCAGGAAACGACGTCGCGCTCCGACTCCTTTATTATCCTGCCGCGCAACGACGACGATGATGACGACGACGACGACGCGACGCCGCGAACCCGAGTTTTTCTACGACTCATCGCTCAGTTCGCGGCATCGGATATTGCGGCGGCGACGTCGTTGATTTTTTTTCTGTTCCTTCTTTTCCTCGAGAACCGGGAGTTTTCAGTGGATTGCGCAAGAAAATAATGTAAACGCCCGTGAGCGCGTAGTTGGCGTGAACATAATGACGAGCAAGGAGGAACTGTCGCCGCGAAATTACGTAACGTTGTATATGATAATCTAGGGAAGGAGGATCCCGCGGTTTTGCACGCTGCGGTTGCAACTGATAAGAACTTGATCCGTCGCATCACACGCATTTTTTTTTCGGCGGTCGAGAAAAATAAAGTCGCTGATTCTAGAATGCGCACATTGCGCACAGTCATCCGGACATCGGATCCGTTTTACGAGATGGTCGCGACTCCGGTCTCCGGTTTCTTCTTGACGCACCGCAACTTGTTCGCGAGCTTACGCCGTAGTTTCCTGTGGGTGGCGAGCATCAGGAGCCACAGAATCGGCCATATCAGCCGGCATATCTTCATCACCACGAGCTTGTTCATGCAGGCGAAGAGCAGGCCGAAGAACCACGGCGCGCCCATCAGCAGGTACAGCTGCAAGAAGAGGAAATACTTCTTCCTGAGGGCGTTGGTCTGATTCCTCGTCGCTATCTCCGTGCTCCGTCGTATCCGTATGATCTTGTACGTGGTGAACACGAACAGCACATTGTTCCAGAAGAGCGTCAGCAGCGGAATGCCGAAGAAGTATATGTTCACCACGTAGTTCGGCCCGTCGTGGTAGCGGCGGTAATTCGGCTTGAGCGGCAAGTCCATCGGGATGCCGGGGCAAAATTCCAGGATGACGGCGACGACGGCAGGTAGAAAGGCGCAGCCCCACGCGAAAACGCCGTACAGCAGCAGCCGCCTGTTCTCCTTCTGACTCGTCTGCTGACCTGATCCCGTCATCCAGCGGAATCGCGTGATGGACAGGGCCATGTCGAGGCAGATCACGTTCAGCCAGAACACCGTGGCGTTCGTGAAGTACTGCATCAGTATCCACAGGAGCGTCTCGGAGTCGTCGCTTATCGGGACGTCGCACAAGTTGCAGTAGGCGAGAAGCGTCAGCAGGCACCCCTGTAACAACAGGCAGACGTTGTGGCGGAGCACCGCGCGATTGTAGATGCTTCTGCCGAGTTCCGGAACGGATAGATACACCACGACGACGATCGTGGACAGGACGACGTGGGCCACGTTGGTGTCCATGTAGGTCTGCGCGCCCCAGAAGAACACTGATCTCAGATCGTTACAGTGATGAACGACTCCCGTCTCATCCTCCTGCGACGATACGTTCGCCACGCTGACGGTGGTGGTAATGGTAGTAATAGTCGTCACGGTGATGATTGTCGTCGTCGTTGTCGTCGTCGACGTAGTTTTCATTATCACTCTCGTTTTCGTCGAGTTCTCTCTGTCCGGAGTCACTCCCGAACTGGCCTTCGCGCACTTGATCAGCACCGTCGTACCGTTGATCATATTCTCGATGCAGTAGTCCTTCGATGCGTGAAAGATGGAAGAGATTGGCGGGTGGTCGCGCGGACGATGTCTCGAACCGGCGTCATCCTCCTCCTCGTCGTCGCGGCAGCTCAAACCCTGCACGGATGCGATCACCGTGGTGATCCTCCGCGAACGTTGGAACGAGATCGTTCGCCAGGCATCGTACGTGGTGTAGTTGAGCCTGTCCGGTTCCGCGTGGACGCACTCGAGGTCCTCGTTGAACGCGTAACCGGCGACGCAGCACTTCTTCGGCGCGACCGGCTGGTGCGCCGCGACCTTCGTTGTCGTCGGATGGGCCGCGATCGAGACGAGGCGTAGCAGGAAAATCACAGCGAGTGATGGCACGTGCATGCTGGCACATCCGATGCCTCACCTCCTCGCACTGACCGACCGTGTCCAGACTGTGAACGATCGCGGACGTGTCTTCTCGACGTTTGACAAGTCGGAAACAATCCGGGGACCGGCGGTGTCTTGCCAGCGCACTACTACCGCACAACGCCGCCGTATTTTTCTTCCATTTCTCTGGATGACGCAGCCACGCCAGCCACGCGAATGTTTATCGCGGTAGTAGACAGGCTCGAACACCGACACGTTGTCTTCGGCTGTGAGCCACGGACGTGCGGTCAACTTTCGCAAGTGACCATTATAACAAAACCGATGAATCTTGCGGGGATTAAACGAGAGTTTGGAAATTTTCCAATCGACGCGTTGCGTAATGCTTTTTCTTAAAAGCAACTGATGGAGACAAGAAGGAAAGCCACGTGTTGCTGAACTCTTTGAAATTTATTGAACATTTAATTAAATAATATTTCTTTTTTTTATGATAAGATATTTCCTTTCATGTAAGGGCATTATTAATCCATCCGATATATTTAGTATCAGTTTTCATATATAAATTCATCAGATTTTTAAAATTTATTAGATCTTGAAGATTTAAAATCTAATAAAATGCATGAAAACTGAGTCAATAGGCTTTATTACCTATTTTTAATGAAAATCATAAATAAATCACAAAGACATTTTAAGGAATAGACAATTTAAAAAGGACTATATATCTGTAAGATTTAAATTTAATAAAGTTGGATGAAAACTGAGTTAATAATGGCCTTATATAGTACTTTATTAGATTTTTAATAAAAATCTAATAAAATCAGAAATAAATCACAAAGATATTTTAATGAACATAGTTTAAAAAGGACTACATATCCGGGTGTCCAGATTGACCTGAAATCAATATTGTTCAAATCACAACGTCAATCAGGCATGGCATAATTGTTTACTTGGTCGCATCATGGAACTTTCTGCCGCGAGCTGCGTATGCGAAGTGCGAAATATTCGCAACGTAGTACGGCGGGGAACGCGTGCATGGTAGGGTCGCGGGCGCTATCGATTTTACGACCAATTAATCGCGAGACACAAAGAGATTTTTCGTATATTTATGTGACACGGTCGTGCATCTGCCTCGAACGCGCATCAGTCATGTCGACGTGTGCGTGCCGATTATGCAAAGAGTTTCCTCCTGCTGTCGTACGTTTCTCAGTATTCGTCCGGGGAAGCGTGTCGACGTGCGGAAAGCGCTCCAACGTCACGAGCAGTGCGATTGTTGCGGGCAATAAATCCCCAGCTTGATCCTTCGTAGATGAGGCGAAGATACAGGCGCGGAATAGCGAAGAACACCGCGGACATATGAAGGTGACCGCCGTCGCCGTCGTAGAAAGGGGACAAGGACGAGGAAAAGGTAAGGTGATACAACTGGAGTAATGCGTCAGCGACGAATATGACTGAATATGACTACTGTTAATGGTGGTGGTGGTGGTGGTAGCGGCAAAGAGACCGTCGACTTCTCGCGATCCTCTCAAGAGAGAGTTGCAAATCGCGAGACTGAGCTTTACGAAATTAACCGGTTCGAGCGAAGTTACCGCTAATCAGACATGAGATTAGGTTAGGTTTATGCAGTTCGTATCTGCGCGTGAAAATTTTGATTGATTATCGCTCAGATCGTTTGGAACTGGCTCGACAACGTTTTTTTAAATATAATTCTTTAATATAACACATTTATCTGATAAATAGAAAAATATAAATATTATAAATAATTTCTATATTATTATATATGATTTCTATATAATTTCTATATTAATATAAATTTCTATATTATAAATATAGAAATATAAAAATATATTTTAAATTAATTTGCGTTGAACTACTCTTTTAGCCGGTGGTTAATTATTTTGTTTCGTGTTATATAAAAATATTTATATGCAACTGATAATTGATATAGTGATCAATAACTGATGGCCCATCCGTCGGCTAGGTTGCACAGATATTATTTACTCCGAAAATTATTTCTTTTTTTTAGTAACCATCCATCTGTTTCTTTTCTAATTTCGCTTTTTTTACATTGTTTTCTTATTTAAGAAATTAGAAAAAAAGAATTATATATTCGTATTTTTACGTCTTGCTTACACGCGGTCGATATTACCGCAACCCCATCAGCTTCAACATATAGAGTATCGATGCTAGATGACGCCATTTTCTCAAACGACACGCGGTCGGTAAATTTAAATGAGGTTGTTCTCCATTTTGTTCCACTTCTCCACAGTGGTAGATTTGAATTTAATTTAATCTCGCAACTGCAAATAAAATTGCAGTTTGGCTGACTAAAGATGAGAGAAATTAAGTTATTTACCCCGTATTTGAGACCGATGCGAAATAATTGTAAAAGCGACGCAGAATAATTAATTTTTCTCGCGAATCAATCTTCTCTCGCTCTATAAACATTGTTTCGATTTATTGTTAGACAACCAACTACAGCCGCATTAAAAGAATAATTAATTTATTAATTAGAAAACAATTAATTAAAAATTAATACATTAAGAGTTAAACGATTTCGGGATTTACAGCTCAAAAGACTCGGGAGTGCGTTAACATTCCGCCGATGGCGATTGATATGCTGCAGGCATTTTGACCTGCAGCGAACAAATTTAACACGCCATGAATAAAAACGCTTTTAAAAAGCCATTGTAATTTTGACATTTTAAAATATGTAAATAAACTTTTTTGAAAAAGGAGATTTTACACATTAATAAATACAATCCACGTTACACACACAATATATTAAGCGTAGTTTTCCGCGTCACGTCGGCGAGGCGTTAAATTTTTATGTATACGGGGAGATACAGGCAAATATGAGGCAAATCGGAGCGCCACGGCCGTCGGGCGCTGTCGAGGGGCATGTATTGTGATTAGAGGCTTTATTGACACTGTCAGGACGGGTACATGATAACGGTCAATATCGCTTGGAGCGCGAGGGCCAGCAGGAGGTCGATTTCTTTGATCGTTAGGTCGTTGGCGGTGCCGGTACCGTTGTTGCATAGATTAGTCTCGCAACAGGCGGTGCAGGCGTAGAGCTTGGTGCGCTCGCCGATCACGATGCACCCGGGCTCGCATTTGTTCGTGCAGTTTCTCTCGAGGGACCACGTCTTCGGGCTGGAGGTCGAGTTCTCGGTGCTGGTGGTGTAGGAGAATCGCTTCACCTGCAACGCGCGCGCACTCGTCACATCGGTTTTTTTTTCCCCAATTTCATTAGGTGTGCGCAGTTTTGCCGAGCGTCCTTCTGTTTGGACTCTCAGCATGTGAGATCTGTGCGCAAGAGAAAAATTAGACGAGAGACATTCATAATTACGTTTAAAGAGAAAGCTATTTGTTTTATCATTGTATAAATAAGCCGTCTAGCCTCTGGTTGGACGATTTTGTGCTATTATAAGAGCTTTCACGTGGCGATATTTCCGCGTAGAAAAATTCACGGATTTTCATGCGAGGATCTGTTTCATAAACGAAAGCCGATAGCTCGTATCCTATATACTTTGTGGATTTGTATATTTTGCAGATATATGCGATTGAGCCTTTTCTAAAAAAAAAGAATATTGCGAAAATATGGCGGTTGTTACGTTTTTAACGCATATATATGAATAACGTATACGCGAGAGGGTATTAATAGATGGAAAGGGATTATTCATATTTTTTTAAATATTAAGTATACTTAATATTTTAAACACACATTTCTGTTAAAAATAAAAATTTACGGGGATAGTATTACGGTATTGTCCTATATTATTCAGCGTGTTTTCTGTTACGTTAGAGAAATCGGAGGAAATTGTGGATGAAATCCTCACTAAAATATATCACCTGACATTTCGACGATTGCTGTAGCTGATAAATAGACAGCCGCGATTCGCAGATCTCACGCGCGTAATAATTTAACCGCATGGATAGACGCTCGCTCGTGAACGCGATGCGTGTGTGTGGGTTCAATTAGATATTAATTTGCTCAGATAAACAAGTAACATGGTTTAAATTGTCGTAACAAGTTAAACGGGCGCGCGCGCGAATTTGCCGCGAACCCGTTCGTTAAAATCGCACTTCCGCAAACTCGCAACGCGAACTGGGAGAACTATTCCAATTTTCGCCTGAAAGCAGGTCAATCATATTCCCACGTAATATTGTATTCTGTACAAAATGTTGTGTGTGCGTGTGTGTGTGTGTGCAAAATTATGATACAAATTATGTAGGAGGATCGCGTGTTGTGTAAAATCGAAGGATATACAAACCTATGCTATCTTACCATGCAGATTCTTTTGTCGTCCACGCATTTATGATTGTAGGTACTGGTATTGCCAGTATTGCCAGTGAGATTGATACATTTCTCACCGTCATTCATAGTGAAGCACCGATAACACCACAAGTCGTTGGCTCTTTCAGAAGCCGCATGGGTCCGATGCTCTTTTGACATTAGCTGACCTGTGTTTCATAAATGTCTGTATTACACACACGCGCAATCGATATGAATTTATTATATTAAAAGTTACGGACTGCCATATTTGTCGTCCAATCAAATATTCTTGCATTCCAAAAGCATTACGTGTAGAGATATGTATATATATTGAGAAATGAAATTGGAAAGAAGGGAAAAATGACAGATTATATCAAATAAATTTATCTGTTTTACGTAGATTTCTCTCGCTTTCAATTCGTCTCTTTTTTGCATTTGTAGATTATCAAGGATAAGATTATATTATTATAAAATAAAGATATTGATTGTTTTTTATGTATATTTATACATATACTCTGGCGTAAAATATTTCGAAAAAAAAAAGTCTTTTAAGTATATTACAAATTCAATATTAGCAATGTAAGCAAATCGATACGACTTTGAAAATTCCAATTTGTTTGCAATCGAATATAGTTATAACCTTTCACCTACAAAAATAATCTTATTAAAAGGCGAGCAGCGTTTTCTATTTTAGTACTATACACGAAAAAAATTTAATAACATTTTATCCTCTAAATCCCATCACATATTAAGGTCTCTCCAATTAAATTGAATTAAAAAAAATTTTTTCCTACGCAAATTTGATGTTTCCAAAAATAATCGTGACGTTATATCGCACAACTACATTTTTATTCCAAGTGTATTCCGCACTTACCGCTTGTAAGGGCGATCAGTGTGACGAGCAGGAAGCACGTGATAGCGACGTGTGCGTTCGCGTTCATCTCGGAGGGGGCCTCGTCGCGAGACTAAACTAATCGCAACGACGCGACGCGACGACCCGAGAAGTGGGCGGCTTACATCTTCGCCACGATTGCCTTCGCGCGATACGCACGCGGGGCTTTACGTGGCAGTCGCAAGACTCGCAAGGGATCCGGACGATGGTCCAGCGCCAGTGTTACGGCAGCTGGTTCCGCCATGCTGCGTCGGCGTCGACGCCTGCGTCGACCAGCTGCGTCGGGCTTGCTCCAGAAACCTCGAAAGTCGAAAATCAATAATCGCGACCGGTGAAAGGATTTGTCTCCGCAGCCACGACCCGCTCGATGTCGAAAGCGTGCGTGCGATCGCCGGTCGGGACGAACCTGAAACAACAACCTGAAATAAAGGGATGTTTGAATGTGTGTTTCCTCTCTCCTTGATCATCCGTCATCCGTATGGGGTGCGCGATCAATCTCGGGGGCGAACGCTGGGAGGGGGGGGGGGGAAACGCAGTTCTGCCGCACCGACGATCCCGTAACCCTTCGCCGGGACTTAATTGCTCGGTGATGATTGTCGGCAACGGGAAGGATAATTCGTTTCGTTGCCAGCGTCATCAAATAAAAACGCAAACGATCGATAGAGGCCTTTGGAAGCCTGGAACTTGCGACGGAGCTTCCGGAACAACCCGGAACTCGATGCGCGATATCACTTCTCTTTTAATCTATTTTTCGCAAATATTTCTTTATTAATCCAGAATTGATTTTTTTTTTAATCTATAAAATAGCGTGGGTTGGAACAATAACAAGTTCTTTAATTAATTATTTTATTAAAATGTAAATTTGATGCTTTTATACGCTACGCAATTTTATATGCTCTGAATATTTAATTTATACGATACATAAAAGCATATAGAATAAATATTCTACGTATAAGATGCAATATTATTTTTAGCACACTTACGTCTTGAATTATTAGGAGTGCAGGCTAGTGACATCTAGCTTGGAAAGAAGCGATGTGGTAGAGTGTATGATAAGGCATTGTAGTCCGATTTTAACCACTCGATATTATCTCGAGTGATTTTTTGTTAGACACCATACATACATTTACGCAAAGTCGTTAGCTATATAGAGATATGATAATATAAATCTCTCTCACCCTTTTTATGCGAAGCTATTATGCTTGAAAATTTTATCCCTCATTCTACTTTATATATATATATATGATCCTTAGAATCACCAGAAGCACTTTTCTCACGTGTTAGTAAGAATCATAAAGAGTCTCTTTATGACTTTTTCGCCATTTATAACCGCCGGCGACTTTCAATATTACAGAGGACTATTCTTCTTTCGGAATATTTTTGCGACGGTTCTCTCAAAAATGCGAGAGTTACCACTGGCGGTTCTAAACGTCAACGTCTCGATTTTCTAACTCTATTCGGACGATTAAATAGGAAAACGGTTAGAGTTTGTGGGGAAGCGGATTTACCAAAGTTTATAGTGGATCCACATGTGTACCTGGGATTTCGCCACTTTAGTACGTCCGGACAGTCGTGGTCATGCTGAATTGGTCTCGCACACCGGACACTTATTAGCGTCGTGCACCGCGACGATCTAACAATCGAAACAATCTAACAATGCAAAGTTCTGATTGACCTAATGTTGTGCCCGTGTTACAGTAACGAATATACCCTCGTCGTTCAACGGTATTAAATAAAGTTACGTATTATCTGCGTACATTATTTCTTTTCTTTTTTTCTGGAACTTGTTTAACTCCAGTTTCGTTGTCGGCCATATCTTGTTTATCTTCGACGTAGATTGATCAACTTCGTTTATTGTGTTGCAAAATTACTTCTAGTCTTAATCGTTTATTACGTAACGGTAAGGAAAGGGTGTTTCGAACGGTATTGTAAGTAATTCGTATTGTATTTCTGAACAATAGAGTTTCCTATTAATCTTCTTCGTCAAATGATCCTTTCAGAGATTTAGTTATTTGTTATGCACGTTGTAATTTAAGTCTTTACATTTAACTGTACGTAACCAACAATGTATTAAAATCTTGAAAGCAATAAACAGTGAATAAACAATACGCTGAACTGTTGCCCTTTCAAGTAGCAAATTAATACAGAATATCAATCTGTAAATTAAATTCTTCTTTATGGAGCTCTTTGTAAGCGTATATGCTTTACATGCTGATATATTTTTAATGCGATAATTCGACTCGTATGAGTGTTAATTATGCGCGGCTATCAATATTTCAACACGTTTTTATCCATTGCCACGTGTAAAAAAAAACAGAAGGAATTTGTTCTTTGAAATGTAACATTCAATAATTTCAGACGGTATACTCACCACAGTCTATATTGCACCTGCATATTGCAGGGGTGAATACCCGCAGGGGAATCGATTTCAGGTTTCCCAGACAGCGACTGTTATGACTTTTACCGGCGAACGAACCTCTTTTGATGTATCAGCGAGCATTCAGTCGTTGTTCAAGGAAACTAAAGGCAGAGCAAATACAAAATGACCCGATACGTCTGCTATAGAGTGGACGGAAACGATACTGATCAAGATATGTATTTTTAGAACTAATTTTAGCGCGTTATTTTTCGCGACGTAACGTATTTCATTCCGTACATTTGAAAATTAACGTAATATTAAATTTTCAATTCTACTCCCATATTACAATAATTTTAATTTTGATAATGATATTGGCAATTAGCTCCTGTTACCTTGGCATCTATTTGTAAATTTTCATTTTGATAAATTATCATTTCATATCATTATTATTTTGATAAATGATATGAGTGAGATTATTTACACATTATTATATTGAATCGCGTATTCGCGATTACCTTCTTGGCGATATTTCTTTTCAGAAAACATTTTCAATTCAGCAAGAAGGCCTTTGTATGCTGGAACTCTCGTTCAAATATAAATATCATATATACAGATTGTAAAGATATTCTTTTCAGAGTCAAATCACGGGGACACATGTATAAGTCTGTCGAGTGGCGTACATGACGCATCGACGGTACGTTCATGCGGCACGAGTACGCGAATTGTAACCGTCATATCCCCGAAATACCAAATTTTGATATTTGCACAGAGGACGTCAACAACGGGTTTACATATACCGATGACACCCCCTCGTGTCGCATGCAGTCGACATAGACAAGCGCGGGAGCTTAATGTCACTGGATTTCGCGCGAGAGGATATAATCCGTCGATATAATCCTGTCGATCCTCACCCCGTGCGCGAGATAAAAATGAAGCGCGAATAAATAACGAAATCTATCGGTCCGAAAGAAATATCTTGGGGTAGGTCAGCTCTTCGGGAATGACGCATCTGCGACGTCAGGTCAACGGATCCGGTGAACAATTGCATTTCGCGGACGAGTTTTGATAGATATCGGGAAAGAAAACTATCGCTGGGATATAAATTACTCAAGAGACCGGTAGCTTTTCCGACCCAGGACTCACTCACCCCGTCGTTCGCGCGAGAACGTACGCGTAAGAAACCTCTCGGTAGCGTCGCGACGTAGAAGAGAAATGTCGGGCAATAAGTTTCGTAGCTCTAATATCATTTTGCCGTCTCGCAGAGCGAATATAACTTTCGGATGACGAAAATTGTTTACGACGTGAATTTTGTGCGCATTTTATCCTGTTACCCCAAGTAGCAAAGATGACGTCTAATAAAGACGTCTTATTGACGTCATAGACGTCATTAAGACGTTATTAAGACGTCATTTGACGTCTCTTTGCTACTTGGGACGTGCTAAATTAAGGGAAAATATTCCGGCGCCCAAGCGCCACTCTAACGACATGTTTTGCATTCTTTAGAAAAATTGAGGGAGATCGGTAGTCATGATTTTGAACGTTTAATATTAAATATGAAAATTAAACTGGTGAAATGTTATGACTCTCTCGGGTGAAATCTCTTGGATGAGGTCTTGTTATATATGTATGAAGTTTTTGTTACTTTCTTGAAGCCTATAATTAAGCAATCCCGTAATTTCACTTTCAATGTAAGCAACGGAAAGAAAACCTAATTCATACGCGTGACTTTTCAGGCTTAACTTTTGTATAATATTGCGTATAGTGTTGCACATTAAGCGCCTCCTCGAGTGAAGCTGCTGATAAATCGTTGTCTCATAATGCGCGTTAGAATTAATCGCGATGGAATGCAATAAAATAAATGATGCAACAGCTCGCGCGTAGTTAAGGATTTCAAGTCTCATAATACGTTTAAGCCTCGCAAATCTACCTAGCACGATACCCCTTTTAAGCGTTCTATTTGCAGTTGGATTGCCTCTACTCGACGGCGCAGCGATGCCGTCGTCATTTAACAATCGCATAAAGTTTCGATTGCCTTTACACGCTGTATTGTCAGCGACAAATATCGCGTATACACGGAATTCCGCCGCGCTGCGATGAAAGCACTCGGGTCGCTTTGAAGAGTTATATGTATAAATAAGCAGTGTATTTTCTTTGCACTTTGTTCTGCCCGCCTTTGTCTCAATTACGACTGCTCTTCTATAATTTTGCGATCGATGCGAAAATTTATCGTCTTTATTATATGTGTCGCACGTTTTAGAAATTAGAAAACAATGTAATGAATATTATTCCTGTCACGTACGTTAGAGCTAGAATTATTAGCGTTAGAATTATTCTTTATCTTTCTCTTTCTTTTACTGGCTGTAAAATAATATATATATATTTTCATGTTGTTTATAGGTTCGCGCGATTGATATGAATCGTCGCGAGCATTCGTTCCGGTTCCGTAAATTTTCATCATTCGTGACGACCTTTGATCTGAAAATTTAATACCTCATCCCCCTCAGCTTCTCTGCGTGTGGTCGCACCTTGAAATTGCCGATAATATATTCCGCGCCGGTAAAAAATGTAATGTGGTTCGGATTTTTATTTACGACCTTCGATTTCTGAAACGCTCGTTTTCTTCACGTTCTGTGCCACGTGCGGCTGCACCTCCGAGCCATCATTTTTCTTATAAGTCGACATGAAAAATGTCATCAAAATATCTGTCAAAACAGCTAGATAGAAGGATTTAAAGTGAACAGAAATAGGTATTTTATTTTATTTCTATTATTTTTCTATTATATTTGAAATCATTTGTAATCTTTCTAAATGATTCGGATAATAAGAGCTGATCCCTCGCCGAATGTAAAAAATCAATTTTTTTATCATCATTTTTGTGACTGCTTTTTCATTCAGTTATATAAAGCTTAAAATATATATTTGGATATTTTTTTGTCAGAGATATTTCTGTTAGAGAGAGTGTAAACTAATTTTTTTCATCTTTTTAAAATATATAAATAAATGTTTTAAATAATTGTTAAATTCTTACACATAGGTAAAATTAAATTTCTTCAACGAATTATCTATTTATAATTACATGGTGTACCTGTTGTGGTTCTGCGATGATCTAATCTTACAAAGTATTGATTGAATCAACGGGATGCTCGAGTCGCAGTAATTAATGTGACGAGACGTCTATTTTTTAAATTTATTATTCTTGATATCGCTTTTCACGCGTGCGATAATAAATTTCCTCCACATAAGGCGATCATAAAACTTATCTTCGCTCCGCTCCACGGTTATTTTTTCGTGCACTTTAACCCGAGCTTATTATCGTAACGTCTGGCAGAGGAGTGTCGCATTACAATACACACCATTACAGTAACACCGTTACAGCATCATCAGCTTACTATGTAATAATGTAATGTGTACCGGGAAAACGCCGCGTTACAGAACCATCGTGTTACATAATGTAAAAGATGTCTCAGCGTGACGGTGCTCAACTCCTCCGAGTCGACTTTTTAACTTTAAGTAATTTACGTTCTAAAAATAAATCTGAAATAAGTTTTTGCGAGTTGGAAATTTTGTATCTCCGCATATTTAAAAACTTTCAGTTTAAGGCACGTGCATTTGTCGCTAGACTTTGACAGATGAGTTAACTCTTAAATGCGCAATTTTTCGTAGCATTTTGAGTATTTTTCTAAATAAATAACTGCGCTTAAGAAATCCTAAAAGAGAAATATTTAAAAAATTCTTCCGTACTGATTTGAACCCTTTTAATCCTCTGAATCTTTTTTTAAACTTTTTTTTTATCTTTGCAAATGCGCACGTTTTCAGTTGAAACTTCATAAAGGAGAGTACACGGAGCGTCGAAAAGTCTCTTTGCACTTATATGGCCAAGCTACGCACTTATGAGTTAACGCTGAAAAATCGGAACCGTTGCCTCGACTCTCTTTCCCGCTATACCGGGAATGTTCTCTTCGAGATGGCCTCGCCGCGTCAATTGCACAATCAATTTTCCTCCGAGGAACGTGGAGCACGGTCGACTGGCTGACATCATTAAATTACGTGTCAGTGTGTTCATACCGAAGCAACACGTGAAACACGGTACCTCCGTCACCGTTGGCGCCTCCGCCGTCCGCCGTTCGCCACCCCCCTGTGGGTGCGAGTCGAGCCACCCCTTCACCTCGTCCCCGGATCCAGTGGAATGTACTTAAACGACAGGAAGGTGCACGCGTCGATTGGTCGGGCGAACCCGGGTCGATGGTGAGAGGGGGCGCCGGGTCTTTCGCGAGGCTCGTAGTGCCGCTCTGACCACCGTCGCGGCCGGGTTTACTCGTCGTCTCCCTTAACTTGGTAAGATCGTCGCGATCGCTCGTAGGAAAAAAAAATCCATCGACACACGTGACAACCACCACCGATTCCGGGATCATCGATCTCGCGATCCCGGGAGGGCGAGCTTCGGCTAAATCCCAGGTGCGCGAAACGATCGCGCGGAACGATCGCGATCGCGGAGGAGCGATGTGTAGTTAAGGGTGCCTGCTATACGTAGGTGCAACGGGGAGATCGCGGGGTCGTTACACCGAGGGAACCGACCGAACACCACCGCGGAGCGTGTGCGTGTGCAAAGCAGCGAGGGATCGGCGAGGAGCGGCAGAGGCAGTGGTGGTATAGACTATAGTACATCCGCGGGTGGTGTGCCAGAGCGAGTGGATCGCAGTCGGACCGTGAATGCGGCCGCGTTAACAAACCCCCGGGGATCAACATCGCCTCGCGGCCGACAATTCTACGGTATAAGGTGAGAGATTTCCCCGTTTCGCGCTCGCACGCCGGCTCCACGTATATCGTGTTTGCCGATCTCATCCCCCCGCTGTCGGGCTTTTGAATGTCCCGCGACATCGCGCGGTACCGCGCGACTACTCTGCTTCTCCGCGAGACGTTTGAAACTTTATCGCCCAAGGGGTCGACATTACTTCCCCTAATTGGCTCGAGAGAGCGAGCCCGGGATAATGATGGGCGACGGGATTTATACGGTACCTCCGTATCATACCTTCAGGGCAGAAACCCTTGAGATACATCGTCATAACTCATACACGGCTCCCGTTATTGGATTTGTATCGTGAAACTTGTATAAGTGGAGATCGATTATCCTGGGACTCGCCCTGGAGCGTCAATTACTTATGTGTTGGATCATGATTTTTTTTTAATGCGATATTATTGTGGCGATCCGAGCAAAAAGGCACAAACGAATACACATGTGGAAATAATTTCCCTTGGAATTGTCTAGAGACAAGCTTTCATTTAAGAGCGAACTCGCGGGAATAAAGCTCGTCGGGTTTGTATTTATTGACGGCATAATGGAAAAACCGTGGTAGATTGTTATGAGCCTCCCCCAGGTCCGTGTTCCCTATTATTTATGCAATAATTACTGACTATTAAATAGAATTGTTTATAATGTTTATATTGTTTCGCTCGTGAGTTTTACCTGTTAAACGGAGCACTTAAAATTCCATAGAAATTAAATGCGATGTATAGAATTTGCCAAGTGTTAGAGAAGCGAATTATATATATGAGTTTATTTAAATATAAACTCGGTTGACGGGACGGTTTATCGCTTCTACATATTACTGTAGCAATTGTATAAATGCGTTTGGTTAGGAAACTAGGGTGCGCGATGTTGCTCGCGTTGATAATCGCGTATACATTACAAGGAATCATGCATACATTAAAAACAGATCGATGATATCAAAAGTATCGGTAAAATTTATATTTTACTTTCTTATTCCATTACGCGATTAGAAGGTTGATAAGCTATCTAGCAAAGTATTTTCTTTCATAATCGTGGAATTAATCCCCATATTTATTTCGTACTTAAGAAAGAAAATACCTCGCTAGATAGCTTATCAGTTGGATGATTTTCTTAAGGAACTTTTCTCCCCGAAAATATGATCGTCCTCCGAGAACGGTCTCTTATAGCCGCAAACTTTTCATCGGCAACAGCCAAATACAGGGATTATCGACGAATCGATAAAATCTTGACGGTCGGTCTAATTGACAATTACAAGCCCCGGCAGGTTTATATAGCTGTGCATTCGCAGCGAATAATTGCTCTCGGTAATTTCGGCCTTTTGCTGCCTGTACCCTAAATGAATCGCGCTTCGTATATATCGTAGTTACAGTATACAGAAACAGAACAGGTCAATGAGGGAAGAACGGTAGCCCTTCAAACTTCCCTTGTCTTCCCGAGAGACACTTGATCGATGCGCTCAAAATGCAGTTTTCATCAGCGACTTTGAATCTAAATTTAGATAGTAATCCAGTCAAGAAGTAATCTCAGAATTGCGAGAAGGCAAGCAAATGATGCGAGAAGTAAGTCAACAAGGACGTATATGCGGATTTATAAATAATCGAATCTTTTTCCGCTTGATTTTAATGCAATTTTATTTAATATAGTATACCTTTCTACAATAAAATGGTGCACGCGAGCAGTGATAAAATGTGTTTTGAAAAATATAACGAATTACTATATATAGAATATAAAAATAAAAATATTATTTCAATAAAAATTGTTTTTGCGAGTTTTGTTATTAGATGGCTCGCATTTGAATATTTTCGTGATAAATAATTATTTTATTTGAGTTATACAAACATATTTTTTGTGTGAAAACATTCGGTATTTTCCTCTATTTCACTGTCACGTAACGATTAAATTCTGCGAGTAATTTCATTATTTCAACTAAAAGTTTGCTTGAAATTCTATTCGTTACATAAAACGATTGAAAATCGCGACGATGAAATCTGTTACCCACTCTGCGAGAAAATGGAAGTAATGACGGGCAAGTGTTTCTATACAATACATGATCTTTTTGTAACGAGATTTCGATCAATTACACCTGTAACATGATTCGCTGCGAAATTCGCTTTCAAATGAATGAGTGCTTTGAATTACCCCGTTTACTAACAATTGCTGCGAATATACCCGGAGAGATTTTGCTTAACAACCGATACAAATGTCGATTGACGACAGATTAAGTCTAATCGACACTAATAAATATAAATCGCTGTTTCTGTGACAAAATTAGAACGGGGGAGCACAGAGCTATTTTTGCACTATGTTACACCATATCTGTACCTTAGAGATAAAGAATCGTGTCTCCAGTTTTTGTCAAAATTAGAGTTAATACTTTTTTCAATATATCAGGAGCTTAAATTATATAATGATAAAGCGTCTTATATCCATTATTATTAGTTCCTAAGATACAATGTTAGAAAAAGTCGTATTAGACATTTTTATAGAAATAATGAACTTTAAGTCCTGTTTTCTCTACATTTCTAATAATGAAGATACGATTCTTTATTTCTAAGGTACGTATTATTAATGTATGTAGATAATAATAATAAGAAATGTTAAATAATCAATTATGACATTATCAAATATTTAATTCAAGTATTAAACTTGAGTATTAAATTCGTAAAAGCACGCTACTGCATCATAAAATTCACAAATACAATTTCCGTTTACATGTTTGTATGCAAATATCGCTTGGAAGAGAAATCTTGATTTTATTTAGATTTCATGAGAAATCTATGATGTTCTATACGTGCGGTACACGGGAAACTTTATCGTAAAATAAATATTAATTTGAGATTTGTAACCTTCGGCCATAAACTTTCGTCCGTTATTTATCCATATTTAACAGTATTTTCTCGAGCTCCTGAATTATTATACATAAATAGAAACTGGAGGTATAGCCGGCGGGATTAAATTGTTCGTTTGCCGTGTAAATTCTTTGAGAAGGTATGCTTGGGATAAAGAAGGGAGGAAGATGAGACGGAGAGAAGGCAGAATCCAAGCGTACCATCCTCGAGATGACCGACCCTCCGGCAATATTTGCGACGATAGTCGGTATCCGAAGTATTTAATTAAGTCCGGAGGAAAATCCCGTGGTTGCATGCGTCCCTGCGCTTTGACGTCTCTCGGTGCGCGTATCCCGCAAGCAAAACAAATTCCCACGAAGGGGGATTCAACGTCAAATAAAAGCTCGGCCTTCTCTTAAGGCCTCTTCGCGCGATAAGAGGAGCGACTCGTTATCGGCGAGGGCGAGCGAGATTTTCCGCCTTAATCCTCGGGGAAACTCGTCGGGAGACGAGGAAGATTAATCCCCGTGAAAGGTTCGATTCCCGGATATATTGCTTTCGCGTAACTTTGCTAAGTTGCCCGCGCCACCGCGCGTCTCACGTCTCACGTCGCCTTTGGAGCCGCGTGGCCCACGCCTCATTTCGTCTGGTGGCGAGCTTGTACTTACGTAACGTAACGTAACGTGCAGTGGCGCGCGTCTCACGTAATTACACGGCACTAAATATCCATCAGGCACAGAGGGAGGCTGCGCATTGAACAAAGAATGGAAGTTAACGAGGCGACAGGGACAACGGCGTGAGAGTTGGAAGGCCGAATGAATTGTCTTTAATAGCCATTCTGTCGTTGCACCGTAGGAAGCGCTCCGCCGGAGCATTTCACGTCGGACTGTTCTAAGGAAATGAGAGGAATTTAACAATTCTCATCTCTGTCGCCTCCGTCCGCGAGGGTGTAATTATTTAACCAGCCGCGCCTGGTACGGAACATTTTTAACCTTGCGACGTCGTCGCGGACTTATTACTCTAATTTGCAATTAACGGTAATTAATATTGGAATAGGCATAGTGTCCAAATACGTAATATCGATCTGTAATTGATGGGAAGGCTAGTTTAAAGTGCTTAGTTAATTAGAGGAATTAAAGACGATATTTATGCCATGCATGAAATAACATTGATAAATAAATGGAGCAGTTACGTTAAATGTTATAGTTATATAAAATGTTTAATTATTAAAAGTAGTAAAGCAGTATCTAAGCATTAAATTATTATTATTTATTTAATGTAATTCTTGTAAATGAGATTTTTTCTATTAATTTTAGAGATCGATATTATGTATTTATAATGGTTATGTGAGACTTCCTCGAAAACAAATTTTATAACAATTTTTATTGTAATAGAAATTCTATATTTTTAAATTCCTATAAATAATCATGTAAAAAAATCACAAAATAATTTTAGATGAGTTAATGCTTTAATTGCGAACATAAAAAACAGACGGTCTGGTTCGGGACAAATAGACTTGGGATTGAACAACACGATATTATAATATTCAACACAAATGTTGGCGAATAAATACGTAACCGAAAAATATTGTTCCCCAAACAACAATTCTCTTTTGCATGGATATAGCGATGGATAATTTTACATTTATTATCATCTCGAAAGAGCCGTAAAATCCAACGATACACGTTGAGGAAAACATTAATATCTAATGATCTCGCGGTTGCCGCGGACGACGATGATCCGCGGGATTTGTTAACGAGGGAGTCGGTCGCGAGTGTAATATCGTTATAATTTATCTACCATAACGACGGGGATTATTCCGCACGCCATTAAATCACCATCTGGCGATTTTCATGTGACCGCGAAACATTAACGGGTTCCGTTTATAGACCGTCGACGGCGGCGGCGGTCGGAGTCGATCGCGTTATGCACGAGACGGAACAAAAGTGTGACGTCAAATACGGTGCACCCGTATTACGTCACGTATAGAGTTTGAAGGGTGGTAGAGGTTCGTGCGCCCGCCGTGAGGTATCAGCGTCCCCGTATTACACGTATACGAAAGACCTTTCCGTTACACGCTGGAAGCGTGCGAGCCGACCCCCCCTCGAGATTACTTCAACGCGGTGATTAAAGTTCGCGCGAGAGGGTAAAAGAGGGATTTTCAGACCTGAAAAATCCGTACACGGTGGTCGCGTGAAGCTCGTGATATAATATATTAAATTCAGTTCTATACCTTTTATTCTCCGCGCGGATTTAGAACCCTTCCGAGCGAATGCGGATTTTCCCCTCTTTCGTCTCTTCGGAGAAAAACGAGACAAGTCCGACAAACCACAATGGCAATAATAATAACAACAATAATAATAATTTTAATCATAATCGGGAACCTTCTAGTTAACATTCTACGTCATTAATATGTCGCATAATGCTTTTTTGTTGTGCCTTCGTCTATTAATAGACATGCAGAGGAAGAAGCTTTATAAGTGTCCACGTTAATCGACACGTCGTGTGGTTCTCTCTTAAAATAAAATCCGGTAGTAGACGGCCGCATCTCTAGCGGTAAATGAAGTATGTAACGTCGCGTCTGAGAAAATAATCGGGCGAGGATTTATTTACTCCGTCACCAGTATTCTCATCGCATCTCCGTTGATTATTCTCTCTCTTTGTTGTCTTCCGTCTCGCTTTTTTTTTCTATGTACATTTTATTTCTTTTTTTCTCTTTCTCTATTGTCGCCTTTGCATTTTATTGCATTGTATTATGCATTGTTACAGTTTATGTAACAGTTTGTTTTTCTTTTTTGTAACAATGTCTTTACGCTTCAGAGAACGTAGTCCCAGCGCGTTTAATAAATTTCGATTCAATTCTCCCTCTCTCTCCTTTTCCCAGAGGCCAAGCTCGTCGGTCAGAAAAGCCCTTTCGCCGGTACGATGCTAATGTACCGGTGACGATGCAACGCGGTAACCCCGTCAGAACAATCTCACCCAATCTTGCGTCAGCTCGGCATCTGGCCACCTTTGAAGCTCAAAAGCCAAGCTGCCACGCTTGTAGTAAACACTGTCGATCGATATGGTTTACTACTACTAAAGGTGCACTCTGCACGGGCTCTTTGGTTTATCGGTTGTCGCGCCCGTCTTCTTCGTTCGAATCTCATTTGAGTGTCGCGCCAACGCTGAAATTTCCGGCACGCCGAGCTTGGAAGGATATCGAAAGCGAAATGGGGAAGGGGGAAATCGAGGGGGGAAAATGAGAGAGAATTCGAGCGGATCGACGGAGTGGAAAAGAGAAGAGGCGAAAGACGAGTGTTGGAGAATGGGAGACGGATGAATGCGGGGATGATGTGATTCATTCGAATGCAACGGAAACGCTGACCTTCCTCTCTTCCGTTTCTCTCTCCGTTATTGAATCCTCTTTGCGGTATTACGTCGTAATTGGCTCCCGCTCTATAAACTCTTACCCTTATATGAACTGACTTAAATTTAACCCCTCGCCGTTCGCGCGCGGCGCGGTTCGTTACGGTAGCTTCAAAGTGGATCCATTCGGACGATCTGATTGATTACGTTGCCCGTGTTTTGCGCATTTTCTTGAAGAGACCGAACAAATCTCGCTTCTGCTTTTTTCCCGACTCTGTGATCGTATCGCGCGTTTCAAGTGACCGCGTACGCGGTCTCGACCGAACGACCAAAAATATATTGCACGTACATATACGAGAGCGGTGAATAAATATGCCGTATAAATCGAGTTTCCGCGCAACACGCAATTTCGCGAGCGGCAAACGTTATCGCGCTTATCGTAATATTTGTTCGAGTATCATATTTAAATTCGAGAGAACCCGCGTTGAACATTATATGGACATTAATATTTTCGCTGAAAGCGAAGAATTAATGGTTATATTCATTGAAAAGTATATGAAAGCACGTTATACGAAACTAAAAAGAGCCCTTAAATATAAATAAACGTTTAATGAAACATTTTTCCCGTTTGAGAAAAAGAGAGACATCTCTAAAAACTACATCCAGCAAGAATAATCATTTTCGCGGAAGCAGCAATGAAAACTTAGGCAATAAGACGGCTCTTTTTGTCGACCTCGCGCAAAGAGCTAGCGCGCGGAAAAATTCCGTAAGATTAACGTTCGCGCATTCGCAAGATTAATGTTCTTTTATTCAATGGGAGAAGTTATTTTCTCTCGTTTGTGCCGTGTACTAGCGTTTCTAGGCATTCTCGCTTGTGTCGCCGTGTAATATTAACGTCACGCGGACAATGGGGCTCGAGTACCAGCTGGGGCTTTATACCGATATATTGGTCGACGAGGCGTTGTTCCATTTGCCGACTTCAGTCACAGCGGCAACTTTGAATGGCTGAGAAACGCCGTAAAGGGTAAGCGAGAGAGTTCAAAGTCGCCCCTTGGAAAGCGAGATTCCGTGTTCTTCTCGGAAGCCGATGACTTTGAAACGCTGACGTCGGCCGCGCGTCGATTCCGCGCGAATCGAATTAACCGTGGCATTCTGATCAAAGCGATCTTTCCTCGAACTCCAACCCGAGGTTTTATACATGCATTTCTCTCTCTCTCTCTCTCTCCCCTCCCTCCCTCCCTTCCTCTCTCCCTCCTCTCTCTTCTCTCTCTTCTCTCTTCTCTGCCGAAGGGATCCCGTTTTATCGGAACAAATTCAGCGTCAATTCGACGTTGAACCGACCGATGAACCATCTTTCGAGAATATAGAATGGAGTTGCCAGCTCTGTGTTTTACATCGCTTCGGAAATTGCACGTAAAGTGCTTCCGCGAAGCGAATATCGAGTATTCTCGGACCGATAATTTGTATCCTGGGTCACGTAACTACGCCACGTTTAATTACCGGTGGTTTTGTCGACGAAACTTTTTATCGCGCGAATTGGCCCGTTTAATTGTTGCAAATTTTCGATTCCTTCCACCGTCGAGGTCTCGTCGCGACAAAAAAGGTACGTCCGAATGTCGGTTGGGAACATCTGGCGCACGGTGCCGCTAATGAAACTGTCGTCCGTTGTATAAATTCGAGAGAAGGACCGTAGAAACTTCTATCTCATCGTTGCATTAAGAAACTCCTCCGACTAATCCGATTTCGTCCTAATCCGTTTGATCTCTCTAATATCTTCTTATGGGAATGCATCCAGATACCTTTTAGAGTGCCCTTCTAGGGTATCAGTTTTCATCGTGGATGGCCCTTATCGCGCGAGTAGGTAGGAGATGGAAGGTCGAGCGGGACGAGCGCTCCGAGTAGAGGATTTTCATATGTGCGTGATCAGAAATGATACGAGCGTTATACGTCGCATTAGTTGAATGAGCGTATAAATCTAAAGGACATCCGAAATGTGTCCCTCAATGCTTAACGAACGTTGGAATTAAATCAGATAAATCAAGATAAGTATCTCTCGAACGTATCAGGATCGGTGCAATCACGTATATAATTTTGCCTCGTGTTTTTAGGATCCTTTGCGTTTTTCGAGGGAAGTACGAAATGTCCATCGATATATTTGAAAGATACATCCAGATATGTCTGATTGCCAAGTAAGGTAAATGTACCAATGACACTTAAGACCTATGTCTGGACACCTTTATTACTTTAGTTTTTAAATAAGTATAATGAAAATCAAAGATAAAAATATAATACAAGAAAAATATTTTTTCTTCGATTCTTCGATTTTAATTCGCGTTATAACTTTATTTAAGGAATAAAATGATGAAAATAATCAGACATAGGTATGTATCCAGACAGGTATTGATACATTTACCTTGAAAAGGAATGCTTCGTAATATGGAGAGATAATTATCCTATCCGGAATACCGCAAATTTGAATTTCCAATCAATACTCGCAAATATATTGATATGTAGATAGGTTGCAATATATACATATATATTGAATAAGCCTTAGAAATCGTTCTCTTGTTCGACGCATTTTTAATTTAATTCCAGATTCCATCTCCTAGGACAGGTTGAACAGCTTATTGTTCAGCGGCGGTCTGTGTTCTGTGCACGTTCGCAAACGCACGAATCAATATACACAGCGCGCCGAAAGATATTACGTTAGTGATTGGATTCGCCAACGTGGAACTATCGACCGGATCCACATGTTGCTTTTATATCAGAAAATAGATTTTGAATGGGCCGGGCAAAGGTCAATTATCAATTCACGGAATGATGTGACGTTTTGTCTGATTAATTGCTGTATCATCAGCGCATCTATTTTTTTTACCACGTTAATATTAATTTTAATAAAATTGCAGACAGATAACTATGTTTATTATTTCTGACATATTCAGCAATTTTTGATGAAACAGCAATTGTTTTGCATACTGGGTGTAAAGTTTTATTCTTTTTACCACGTTAATATTCATTTATAAAAATTGCAGACAAATAATTAATTTATGTATATTATTTCTGACATATTCAGCAATTTTTGATGAAACAGCAAGTGTTTTGCATACTGGGTGTAAAGTTTTAAAAAGGCCTAATTTTTTAATGCAGTTATTTCAATTATTCTGCCTAATCTAGTCAAGTAACTTTTACTTTATAAAATAATAGGAGCTGATTATTGTAATAGTTGCCAAACTTACATTACTTTGTGGAGCAGGTTCTAATACAAGTAACATATGCACAAATATACTTGCATTACGTTTAATAATGAATTATAGAATATGAAGTACACAGGTGAAAAATCTGTAGGTATCGATGCGATGACCGATATCTAATAGGTTTTATTTGGAATATATGTTATAAATAGTATGACTATTCGATATCAATATCAATGCATTCATCACAATAACTTTCACAAGACTACATTTGGTTCAACCGAGATTTTATGCGCGCGCCATAGAGAGACGAGAGACGACTGACAAATGTTATACAAATTTCCTATCACGATGCCATTACGATAAACAATTTAATTAACTTCCATTAATAACGTCGATATTAGTACTCGTCAATTTCCCTTGAAACGATCCGTCGCCTGACGCGAACAAGAACTTTTGTTCTTATACCATCAACACGCTCGATAGCGACGCGCGCGAGAGAGTGATTAAAATAATTATCGTTAATAACGACGTTATCCCTTTCGGCGGAAATTCGCGCGGCGGGACAATCGAGGCCAGGACTATCGATCGGGTGATTAAACCATGTCCCTTCGTGATCTCCCATGAATATTAATTCGGATTACATACAATACGCGACGGCGTTCACCAATACGTAGTCAATACAGAATACTGTGGGACGGCGGGTGCGATAGCCCGGTTGCGGGATCCATGGGACGTTGCGTTGGCCGGGAGGTCGCGGTCGTCGCGGACGATTCGAGGGCGAGCACAACGCTTTAATGCCTGCAGACGCAGATGCCGCCGCGGCAGCGACCACCCCGGCGACCCTGCACCAGGCATTTGCCCGCGCAGGCACTGTGGTTGATGCTCAGCCACTTGGACTGCCAGGACAGAAGGTCGCAGGTCACGCGCCGGTTCCGGATGGGCGGCAGATTCGACTCCATCTCGTCGTTCGCCGGATCCTCGATTGCCGCTGAAACGCAATTCCCTTCGCTTTATTTTCCGATACAAAAATAGAGAAGCGGGTATTGCGGGGTAACTCGTTTTATGTACATAGGTATTCGGTGTCCCGAGAGCTCGCATCAAGAGCAAATCGTTAGATTAATGCGGGGGTGGTCTCATCAGGGATGTACATATTCTTTTGCGGCAGCGAAATTAACTTTTCTTCTTGCACTATACTTTTGACATTTAAAGCGAAAAGAGTGAACAGTTTTCGAAGAAATTTAAGAAGACTGATTACTTTTGCTCTATCTTTCTTTCTGTTTTCAAATGTTCGAAGTTTTATATTGGAAATTATACGATTCTTGCGAATTGAACTTCAAACTTTTTTATGCGACTCTTATGAAAATAGTTTTTTGATATTTAAATTGATGTTTCAGAAACGTACACTGTTGAATATTAAACAATGAAATTTAAATCAGTACTATGAGTTAATTAACATTTTGTTGTTTTTAACTACCATGTGTATCAAAATTTAATATTTCAACACAATACAGTATTATTTGTTTAGTTAAATTAATATTGTTTTAGTTTAATGAACGATGTATTTGAGTAGGAACAGTGGTGACGACCTACAGAAATCGTTAAAAATGATTCAAATTGAGTATAATATAACGCTATTTATTTAACAGTGTATAGCAAGAAAAAACAACGTTTGAAACAACTTACATTTAGCACATACATAAATAAGCTCAAAGTTTATTTCTAATTCAGCGTTCGGAAATGATAATGGAATAACTCGTAATAATGGAGTGTTACTAGAAAAGGTCGTATCGAACTCGATATGAAAGGATATCGACAGCGTATTATCAGTGTACGCTAAAAGGGTGCACGTCAGAGAGAGAGAAGAGAGAGAGAGAGAGAGAGAGAGAGAGAGAAAGAGAGAGAGGAGAGAATATGTATGCTACAACTATTATGCAACGCGAGATAAAAGGCAGCGCATTCTGAACATTTATTACTCTATTGCAAAGTATCGTCGTATTACATCTCGACGACCGTTCTCCGCGAAAATGCAATTACAATATATAATATTCAACGAGCCAGCGTTCATAATAATTTCCCAATTATCGGCAAAAAGTGTCTTAATGTATCTCGAACTTGATATCTCGGCGAATAAATCTTTGACAGGGTGAAATTTATTCGCGATCAATTTCAGCTTGTTAGATCGCTCCGTTATCGAATAAAAACGATAAGGACCTCGCTGTCGTTTGAACTTTTATTAGAGAATTTATTCGTGATCTTTCTCGGTGAGATATGTATATACTTACTCAATTCGTAAGTAGGCCCGTCGTAGACAGCCGGCAGCGTGTTGGCCGAAGCGTAAGCCGGCAGCGTGTTGGCCGAAGCGTAAGCCAGCACGGCGAGGACGGTGAGGATAGCGAGCAGCTTCATGACTGCGGAAGAACGTATATTCTCGTGCGCACTCAAATGCGTCGTTGAACAATGACGTCCTTAAGGACGCGGCGTTTCTTTATATACCTTATCGCCGCCGCCGATAACATCCTCGTCTACTTTCCTCGGTCCACTTCCGTCCAGCACCGTTACGTCTTTCCCCTGATGTCCCGTCACCGGAATTCCCCGCGGCTTCTCGCGGCTCGCTATTTCTAGACCCGTCGGCCGCCGACCAGATCCGCAGCCACATAAACTTGACCCGCGTATCCGAATATTAATTTCCGGCATTATCGCTGTTACCCGGACGACGACTGAGGGTGAAAGAGAAGAGGCGACGAAGCGGGTCAATCGATCGTGGCGTTTCTGTCGTTGAACGGAAGCGCGGACGTGACTATATAGTTTGCGAGAAGTGAGTGGCGAATTAAAAAGAAATCGACAGGTATTTTCATTCCGGTTTTATTGAATTTTTGAACTCGGAAAAACTCGGCGACTACCGTGAAAGGGAGAGAGAAGTTTCTCGGATATATATTCTTCGTTTCCTTCGTCCTTTTGGAGTGTATTATGTAAAAGAGGAAATTTCTAACGGAATATACCGAATGTTGGGCAAAGGCAATTTACCTCAGTCGTACGTTTCAATTATGAATGAGGGAACCGTTTTTTACATTTTTGATTAAACCGACGAGATTTGATCTTTTATGATAAAAGCATGCTGGCGCATGCGGATATTATAAACAATTCGGAATTTCCGCGTTACGACCGCAAAGAGTTAAAATTTATCGGAACGAAATATAAAAGTCAATCGGAATAACAGCTCGTTTCCCATTGTAAAAGTCCCGTTGTTTTAATCGCCGTGCTGCCCGTGCTAATATAACGCGAAAACTACGCGTTTCGCATATCCGAAGCGTTCGCATTCGTCAGCAATTTGTTTACGAGAGAGACACGTCGCGGTGTCGGTTAAGCTGTGAATAAACAATCGACGATGGAAGGTAATGCTGCAGCGGTCGCGGGTGATCGCTAAATTTCATTATCGCTCGAGCTGTACCAGCTGACCCAGTTATGGAAACAAAAATATGACTTCTCCACGAATGCTATAAATATTTGCGCAAACGTAACGTTCAAACGCGGTTACTGTCATTCCCGACATACTTTCTTTTCCACCCTCTCGCCGTATTCGAGGGTGTAACATCCTACGCAAATATATTTATAGAAATTTAACTCCGAAATTATCCCCATTTACATTGGACGTGATAAACGAGGAGGGGAATATATACGTTCCGGATATATCGAATCGAAATGCTCGCACGTGCTCGGAATTACACGAGCCGAACGAGACTATATATTATGTGCGCAGTGCTTTACTCGCCATTAGATGCTTGTCTCTGATGTAGAAAATAAAAAGTCCCTCCTGGGAATCTCTCGAATCCCGGCATCGCACATACTTGAGAAACCTCGTATCCGCTCGGAATCTTAAGCAGCGCGCGTATCGGAGACGCTGATTCCGTTTATAGATGTGGGATCAAATACCGGCTTGTCTGTTAGGTGAAACGAAGGAAATATTTGTAATAAAAGCGATTAAAAAATAAGGGCGAATAAAGTGTCCGTTGTCAAGTGTCTGCCCATAGTTTTAATGTTTTAATGAACTTTTATTAAACCCAGGAACGCGGGCACCTGGGGTGAATTTTACACCTTGATATCGAAAAAAGCTCACGTCAGTAATTTGAATATGCTTCTTTTGTTTTTTAAAATATTTTTTTTGTTTTCCCTTAAAAATGTTGAGTAAATCTACATACATATTGTCTTCAAACAGAACAATTAAAAATATGTTTAATAACAATGACTTTTAATTGGGGTGTAAAAATCATACCAGATAACCATTTATAAATTAAAAAAAAACAAGCGTCCGTTTCCGTGTTAAAAGTTTAATTCGTCGAAATTTTGATGGACCGGAAAATAAGATCAACGTTTCGAAATCTTTGTATAAGGATAGAAAAGGAAAATGAAAAACCGAAAATTTTTGCCAGGATAGAAATGAGAAGGCAGTCGTACTGCCCGAGCACGAGCGGCGGAAACGGCGCCGGCGAGCCGCTGATCGTCGTCGAAGAAAGCACGCTGGGCGAGGAGGAAGGGGCGTGCTGCCGCGCGGAATCGCCGCCGCGATGCGTCGACCCGGACTCGCCATCCTTGAATCCCTATCTGCTCTCGCCGTGGAGGGACGCCAGGAAACACTCCTTGCCGACGCCACAGTGTACATCCGGGATAACCGCATCCCAGGTACGTGTTGTGCATGTGCACCGGAAGTCCTTCGCGGTCGGCGCTATCGAAATACGCAATTGCTTCATGCTGCAACACACGCGCGCGCGCGAGATAGCCAAAATAGATTCGGTCCAGAATAATCTCGATAATGATCGATCTCGGAGAGAGAAAGATATTAGAAATAGATATTAAAAATGTCAAAGTTAAAACCTAAGATATTAAATCGAGATAAAATTTGAAATAAATATATTTGAAAGTTTTTTGCTCCTTTTCAAATTTTATCTTAATTTAGTATCTTATTATTCTAACATTAGCATTTAAATGATATTAGCATTTGTAATGCACGCAGTCAGATTTTCAAAAGTGCTGCCATGCGACGAAGCTAGATCTTTAAATAATTACATCAAAGATGCATAAAATCTGACGTTGTACGATTTAAATTTTTAAAACTTTCCGATGGCACTATTCCATCACTGCGAATCCAAGTGTGTTATTTTAACTGAAGCTCGTATTAACTTTTAATTTAATACGATTAAATTAACACTCTGTTAATTTAACACGAAACATGTAAAACGACCTTCGGTCAAACGTGTCATTTCTAGACGTTTATATACGTGTATAGAAATAACACACTTGGATTTACAGTGATCAGTTTAATTTCTCTCTCGAGCGATAACATAAACCCGTATTGGGTGTCGGTGTCGATTAGTTCGGCCTCCTCGTTAATTGCACGCGGTGATTAGGTGCGACGGTTGAGCGAACGCGGTGGAGAAGGTTCCGGTCCATCGGCGAGGGAGGCTGCTTTCCTGGCGACGCTCTCGCAGACGCCGGCACCGCAGTCCGGCGGCCGACGGCACTCGGTCGTCACGATCTCCAGGGTGCCGACCACCCTGTTCGGGCGCAATCGACGAGAATCCATCGCCGCGTTTCCCATGGGAGGCGCTACCAGGATATTGCAAAGCCGGCGGGAATCGTCCACCGGGATAAGCGGCCCGCCCAGCAACAGCGGGAGCACTCACAATCTGCAGCTCGACATTATGGACGACATCGCCGAGATCAAGGCCAGAAAGGTAGATTGTAACTCTGGATTAGCGACATGTTTAGGAGTAGTCATAGTAATCGAGAGTTGACAACACAATGGTAATACTTACATAAATAATATAAATGAGATAAGACGAATAACAAATTATAGTGATGAGAGTGTATACAGTCTCCCTGCTGGTCTAATAGAACCGAAAGATAAAACCGGACCTTAATGATAATCACTTGTAATCTTATGATAACCACTTAGGCTTATTAGACATTAGACTGTCCGCTATTGATTTTTATTATAGCTGCCCCTCCGTACTTTTTTGCCCTTTTTTTTCTATCTTCGAGATTAAACATGTAATAGCAGCGCGGTCCATCAGGAGTCCAATCGCGATTCTCAGACATTCTCAGACAACATGGATTCAAACTTTAAGAGTTCTCGTATTTTATAAAGTTAATTAATAATAAAATCGGCTCTTCGAAAGTAAAAACGCGAAGACGAAAAGTAGGATCGTCTAATTAAATCGAGGAATTTTTCCAAGTGAATAATTCAAGTTTCTAAAAATATAAAAAAATTGTTGGAGTTCGTATTTAAATTTCGTCTCGGAGAGAAATCGCTGCAAAGTCCATTAGCCATTCATAGATACTTCATATTAATTTGATGTATAGTTAAATGGACAGCTCTTTGACGTTTCGTTTAAGCGGGGAGCGCTCTAATCGTGCTCGTACACGCGTCCCAGGTCCGTTTAAAGATGTACAAGACGCCGTCTCGCGAGCGCGTATGCGAGATTCAGCCACTGGACGGAAATGGCAGCTCGACCACGCAGAAATACATACAGCATCAGAAACGCCGGTTCTCCGAGTTCTCGGCGTCGGTTGCGGCGTCCACGTCGGGTTTACGTAGACGCGCGTCCGAGATGATGAGGCCGCTCTCCGACGGCACGACGACGGCGGCGGGTATCACGTGCTCCAACACGGATCTGATATCCATCCTGAGCTCCCTGACGTCGTCCGCGACGGAGATAAACATGTGCGGCACGTCGGACGCGTCGGGCACGAAGGACGATCAGAAATCGAGCTGGTCCTCCAAAACGGCGGAGCAGAGGCGCAGCCGGCTCAAGAGCTCTCGGTCCAACAGCTTCGACGTCTCCATCCTGCACAGCACCAAGAGCGTCAAGACGCCAACCAGCAGTGGCAAGAGCGCCATTGGCACGATCGTCACGCCGAGCACCTGGTTCGCCAAAAGACATCAGCCGATGTCGAAGAAGAACCGGTATGACGAGGAGAACCCGATGACGTTCAAGCTTGACAAGTTGCGGGTGGTCAAGACTGTCAAAGATACGCTCGCGAAGAACGTCAACGCCAGGCACAAGGTTCTCTGGGACGACAGCAGTGGTACCAAGGTGGACGCTCAGGTAAATAAACGTTATCACTTTCCGTTCAGAACGGGCTTGGACTAAGCAAGTGAATATAGTATAATGATCTATTGTACTATTTCGCAGTCGTTGAAACAAAGCAAATTGTTCGCGTTTGTTCGCACTTGCTTGCTTAGTCTGAATCCAGACTAAGCAAAATTATTCAAAGTAAGAGTTTTCGTTAAATATATTAACTACAGAAAAATCGATTAAAAAAAGTAAGCGAACGCAGTTTCTTCATCAGATGCGTTTACAAGCATCGAGAAAATTGTGATTAGAATTATTAACTTTGAGCAAAGCTCCAGTGTTGGCGGTATAGATATTTTCGTTCGCGCACCCAAGATAAAATACGTCGTAAAAAAGAATGTAAGGTCGCGTAAAAGTAAAATTTTTCGCTTGATTCGGTACTGATAGGTGCTTGGTAGTGCCATCGAGAAGATCCTCACCTCGGGCCACCGAGGAAGCGACGCGGAAACGTCGGGCAGCTCATCCGGAAAGCCGGCCGTGTCGCCGAACAAGTCGCGCGCCAGCAAGGTCGCCAGTTGGTTCACGAGCGGGAACAAGGAGCCGGAGCAACCGGACTGCGAATCGATCTGCTCCACCCTCAAGGACCTCTTCGTCAAGTAGTGCACCACCGCCGGGCCGTCTCTCGCGATTACGACAATTCATATGTTTCGTTTGTAAACAAGATCTACAGGATTGACAGAGTTATTTGCTGTGCGCACTGCCGCTATTTATTTATTTTTCTCTTTCCGCCGAATGAGTTCTACATCCCATGAGCTAACTCCCACGATCTGTTGGAATGGTTCTCTTGTTTATCCTCTTGAAGTGAGAAGGATTCAAAGAGAGAGAAGGATCGGGAGAGAGAGAGAGAGAGAGAGAGAGAGAGAGAGAGAGAGAGAGAAAGATCAAAGCTGCGGAAGATTACATAGGTTTGATCGAAAAGATGTTACTACGTTTCTTTTCTTTTTTTACATATTTCTTCGCACGGTAAAATAATTCAACTCATTCTCGCGCGCATATCTATCTCCTATAAAGCATATGTTTAGATACCTGCAATCTCTTCTCACGATTCGGAGTTTACTTAATCCTGTCCCCGAAGATCAGCAATTAACCCGTATAAGGTGCTTACCGAATTTGTGAGATTTCTGTCGACACGAAATTTGTTTGCGATCTTGATCGACACGATATTTCGCTTAACGAGTAAATAGAAATTAACGTTTGGTGCATAACATTTATCGATAATAAATATTCACGATTTTAATTTTTTGTGGGAATTGATATTAGTAAATATGGCAATTTACGAAGCTGAAGGCCTTTGCCGATACTTTCGCGCAATATTTAAACACTGAGTTCGATATTTTCACGGACTATTTTCGCTCTTACCCGCCGGATTTCATCCCGATTATACGCAGCATCTTTTGATTCTTTTGTGGCTGATTGCACTCATAATCGCCGCGAGATGACAGATAACGCGATATATCATCCTTGTCCACTCCCTGAACGAAAACACAGTTACGCACACAACAACTCGATATATTATACAATATACACAATATGCGCCATATAATTTCTATTGATAGTGCAAATATCGAGGAAATCGATTACAGAAGTATTTTCATAAGGGACAATTATTTTTAGTAACATGTCACTTTTTTAAGTTGTCGCGAGCAGATAATGTTAATTACGTTGGCGCAAAAAAATATATTAGGATAAAATTATAACATATATATAAGAGAGAACATTCTGCGTGGCATTTCTCGTATATTGACGCAGATAACACGTGGATAATCATAAACGTTAATGTATCCTTTGCGGGCCAAAGGAGATGCACACGTTATAATTATATATAATATATTCTGAAAGAAGAGCACACAGAAGGTGGCGGCTGGTCCGGTTAATTACGCGTAACTTTATCTGTCGTCCTTTTTCCTGTTTCAATGGTCGGACTTCTATCCGTTTTCCTGCTCCTTTTCGGTCGACGTTCCTCGACATCGTTTCGACCGCACAAACCGCCACTGATATAGAATACAGATACATGATATAGATATATGGATGGACGTAGAGATATATATGTATAAAAAAATCGTCATGTACATTTAATAACTATGTACAGCAACGGTATGCACGAGGTGTATACACGTTGCTGTGGGTATATGTGTGCGTGTGTGTATGTATAATGTACGTTTCGAGCAGAAGAGATATAAAAGATATATTCATGTTGCAGCCAGCCTCCCGGAAATTTTATCTTTCAAAGGTATAGAATATACGCGACTGCGTTGAGTAAAACGCAAATTAATTAAACATCTGACGAAGCCGCAAATGAAAGCTTATGAATGAGACTAATAAGTAGGACGATATAGCCCGCAAATGTATTTTCCTTCGGTCGGTTTTAGGTACTCCTCGATCGTGTTTGCGCTTGGTAATTTGTTCCTTAAATTTTGCAAGGTAATGAAGAAGACACACATTATATGCTCCTCCTATATTCGAAGTTATGTCGAATTATATTTTCTCAAGAGACTCTCCAATTTCTGTTCCTGGAGCGTCTGACGATAATTAAACAAGAGCGTACTAAATACAATTTTCCTTAATGATTAAGTATTAAGTTAGTATCTCTTTGGTGTGCAATCAGGAATAGTTTTATTAATTCGGAGGCAATCATCGTTCCGCTGCGGTGTGATTGGAATGACATGGTTCGTAATCTTCATGCTGCTTTATTAAGAAAAATTCGAAACAAAATGTTCAATTTATATTAAATCGATAGCTTCAGAACGTAGTAAGTGTGAACTTTATGTGCTGTCGATTTAGAGATAAACTACAGCCGTAAAACATTTTTTCGAAAATTTACGATGAAATATGTCTAAACGAAACGGCGTGACTTATAGATTACGCATTATTTCGATACATACTTACACGTCTCTTGATATATCAATGTTAAAAAAAAAAAGATGTTCCAAAGATAATAATCGTTGTTATTGAGAGTTTTGAAATCTATACGGAATTGATTGCGTAATGTGATTACCCCGATCTGTATGAACTTTAGAACTTATTTATGAAAATCATACGATGTGAGTAGAGAGTAAATACTTAAATGTTCTTCGATTGGTAATCAGAGTCTATATAAATCCGCGTGAATCTCTAGCTCCGCGTGAGCCTCCCTTTACATCACGTAAACATTAATTAGACGAGGAGAAGCAGCACAAATAAATACAAAACGAAGACGGAAGTACAAATATTAAACGAACGACTAAAAGACCAAAAGCGTGTTATTTTATTTTACTGGAATCGAGTGACAACTCGAATAAGTAGGTAATTTCTGAAGCAGATAGCAAGTTGTCTTTCTCTGAGTACCGTAATCCCTAATCCTTAATATCTTAAACGATTCTAAAATTAATTATTAGGGGGATTAAAAGAAAGAGAAAAAAATAAGTTACTTGTTATTTGCGTCAGACTATTATACACATGTATTTATGACTCTTCAACCCCTCGATAAGAATTCGTATCGATTTTTTATTTACATAGATGGTGAATGAATTTTATTAATTTAGTAACGGTAACAACATGAAAAGAAATTATAAAATTAGTTGGCAAGTTATCTTCGTTATAATTCTTATGTTATGTTAAAAAAAGAATTGTGGAGGGATAAAATCCGCTTACATATTTAGATTAGCGCACCTCCTGTACGTATGTCACAATCGAAAAAGTGTCCTAATACAAAGTTGTAAATAGTATTGGTGCTGTATGTTCTATCAATGTTCTCGCAGCAGATTGATAAAACATGAATATGAAAAAAAGGTAAAATATACGTTGATCGTAAATGTTGCAAAGAATGTGTTATTTATATATCGATTTTTCAACCTGGATCTATTGTCTAGATATTGAAATATAAGATAGGAAAGGATTAGATGCAATGTCCATCTGGATATTATCTTCAGGAAAATATTTATTTTGAAAATTAAAGGGATATATATATAGAATATAGTTTACTTAATAGAGCCGTACAAAATTACAATGTATGTAGCGCGAATAACGTACAACTTATTTTTCTTTCTGAAAACAATTTTATTTTTAAGAAATCGAAACTGTTCAGACTGTTGCAACTACATTTTTCAACTTGGTGTTGTATTACAGTAAAATGGTATCGCTTTCAGGCATTGCCCGCGTTACGATAGGTAAACGGGATGTTTGTTTTTTTTTCCGGCAGAGAAGAGGAATGGTATATATATATATTTATAAAAAAACATACAATGAGGATTCTCTAATCGTGATATACATACATGTGTCATTTCCGCTATATCACTTAGCGATACTAAGCGAGTGTGTGGAAGAATATGGATTTCGCAACAAAAGTTTAACACATATTTTTCTTATAACACACAGGTGTATTGACTGTGGAACGAAGCAAGATTTCTGAATTAGCAAATCCTTCGTTATAGAAAAAAGTCACACTGCAAACGATTCTTTATCCTCTGATAAAAAAGAAGTATAATTGCTTGAAATAGAGTAGAAAACATTTCAATGCAGACAATTTCTTTTGTTTCTACAAAATTCGACAAGTTTGACATTCCGTGCCCGATAACAAATTATTAGCGTCGATGAGAGAACCTTGGTCGATAGGAATGGATGAAGTAGGGCAATAAAGACAGCAAATAGGTATGCAACAGCTAAATAAAAATGCAGTCATTACAGTATCTAGTTGATCTACAACTCTCCGGAATCCGCTACTATGATCTTTTTGGATGTCTTGCCGCTTTGAGAACCCATGGCCTCCAACTGAAAACAATACGTAAATAACATAGATTAGCCAGGCTGTTGAATATTTGAATATAAAATAGTTTATCAAGCATAAAACCTAGACTCGATTCTTGACCCTGTTACTTTAAATACAAATAATTTCAAGTGACAAAATATTTCACTGTTGACTCGTAACTGGCGGATCTCGGGTTTGATCAAACGAATTTTAAATTTGTAATTTGCATAAAGCACTTAGAAAAGAATCTTAAAATAACTAAATAAATCGTGCATTGAAGGTTAAAGATTTCCAAGAATTGTGGTGGCCGCATGTGCCCCTACTAAGATAGCAGCTCAGCACCACACTAAATAGTCGCACGCGGGCAAGCGCTTTCTCACGAGCGGTTGGCCGTGCTGCCTAAATGTATATAAACAAATTCAGGGAAATACTCATCGACCTTATCGACCGATCGACGCTACTACAAGATCAAATTGGGCACATATTGAAGTCAACTCGCAGAAATCCGCGTATTTTTAGAGACACCTCATCACATCACATCCGCCATCTCATAACATCCAACCTTACACGATCCCCAGAGAATAAATATAGAGAATAATAATAAAAAAAACGAGACGTCAATTCCTCGCTAATAAAAAATATGCATAGAAAATAGTAATAGAAAAACCATACTTTTCTAACAACATCCATGCCCTCGGTGACTTTTCCGAACACGACGTGCTTTCCGTCGAGCCAGCTGGTCTTGGCACTGGTGATGAAGAACTGACTGCCGTTGGTATTGGGGCCGGCATTCGCCATAGATAGTATACCAGGCTCGGTGTGAGTCAACTTAAAGTTCTCGTCCTCGAACCTGGCGCCGTAGATGGACTTTCCGCCGGTGCCATTGTGGTTGGTGAAATCACCACCCTGGCACATGAAGTTCGGAATCACCCTGTGGAAACTGCTACCCTTGTAGCCGAAACCCTTCTCTCCGGTACAAAGCGCGCGGAAGTTCTCCGCCGTCTTGGGGACGACATCCTTCCTCAACTAGAAAATTGCATGAAAAATATGATTAAACTCTCTGGACATTTCTAGACTATACTGTATATATATATAATTTCTAAATATATATTTATCTTAAAAGAATATAGTAGAGCAATAAAGCAGCAAATAGGTAAGCAACAGCTAAATGTACAACACGCTAAGACACTCAAGTAAGATTTATGCTCGTTCGGAAACGAGACAAACGTTTTTTTTTTAGCCCTTACATAAATTAGTTTCTAAAGAAATAATATTAACGATTAAAAAAAAAACGTGATAGAGGATATAAATAATAAATATGCGCTATTACTCCAGCTCGCGCCATCTGTGTTAAAAATTCTAAACTCGCGTGTTAAAAAGCCGATGCTTCTGCATTATGCAAAATATAAAATTGCTGTCGTGAGCGGAAACCTATGTTTAGCCTAGCGCAAAGTTTCTAATTATATAACACGCCAATTAATACACAGTATACTTTCGTTCGATGGAATCTTTTTCACGTAGGAAAAATCTTTTCGTTTTTATTTAAAAAAAAAAAAGAAAAATCGTTTCACGTAAATAACGATCTGTCAATTCATCATAATTTTCAGAAAAAGACGGGAAGAGAGAGCGTCTTATCTTATCGGCCGTATTGCTAAAATGTAATAACCTTCCGTGCGAGCGAGTCACAATATTTTTTCACGTCCTTATCTCGAGCGATCACAATATCCTTCGATTTTCCGTGATTTCGGAGTAGCTTTTCCGATCGGAGTAAAAATATGCGCTCGCGCGGGGGACAGGTGCATTTTTTCTCGCACGCACGCGGACACGCGTGGGCACGCGGCCGGTCGACAGGTTCGCCGTCGTGATGGAAAATTTCGTAATGGTTAAAGCGTGCTCGCGCGAGCGTGACGCATCGCCAACGACGGTCGCGCTCGGCCGTGACTCCGCACGATCGCGTCCTCGTCGACCGACGGCAGCCGCCGATCGCCGATCGCCGTCGTCCGTCGATTATTTACTCCAGTTACGCGACGGCGACGACGAGGACGAGGACGGCGACGATGAAGGGGAGGAACCGGAGGAACCGATCGTCGCGCGAGAACGAGGGGTCCGGTTGAATCGCGAACCGGCGCGGTGGAAAAATCAAGATGGCCATGGCATGCCGGGATCCGCGTAGGAAGCGCGCGGTCGGAGCGGCGCGGGACGTTCGGCGGTCGTTGCGGCGCGTACGGGCGTTAATTTCGGCTCACCTCCATCACGATGCGGCCCACGGGCTTGTCGTCCGCGGTCATGTCGAAGAAAACGCGTGGCAGTGCCATGTTCCCAGCTGCTGCGGCGATACTTCGTAGGAGCGTGTCGTGGGACGGTCGTCTCGGCCGGGCGGTGGCTCCGAAATGGCTCGACTGCCTGAAGGTCGAATCAATTGACAGCCGGCAAATCGATCTCAACGCCATATTCTGCCGCTTCTGGAAACCCGCCGGAAATCGATTCCACGCGCGGCGATCGGCGCGGTACGCACGGCGTCGTAGGTTTCGGCGGTTTTACGGCCCTTTCGCCGGTTATTCCGCGAAAATATTATGTAATAAAAGGACCGTTTTCGGTTGCAAATTGCCTGCTGCCGAATGAGGCGGCGGGACCGCCGGCGACGGCCAATCGGGCGCCGCGCTTCCCGGCAGACTTCGACGGCCAATCAGATACTTGTTCGTGGATTCTTACTGACGCGCGTTGCCATTATTGCAGCGTTAAAATCTCTAATCGTCAAACGTACGAGCTATTTTGTCACAATCTTGTATTCGCGTGATTGAAGACCTGGCTCAGCAATTTTATAATCAAAACGAGATGACTGCGTATATATTCGAGCGTTTAGCGAGAGAAGAAAAACGGAGTTGAACTTGAAACAAAAAATAACCTAAACAATTTGAATCAAATTTCACGAATAGCCGCGCATTCCTACCGCCGGTATTATATCGACTATTTATTATGCGTACTGTTGCCGCTAGAGTGCGCCACTTGGATGTTTTTATGTCCCAAAGGTTATGAGCTCATGTAATTGATAATTCTAAAATCTAAATAAAACAAGATGCATTAAATATTGTTTTTCCCCAAAATGACTGATTCGCACAGTCATTTGGGCTTAGCCAACTCACTTGCTCTTGCTAATAAGAAGAATAAGAAGTAGACTCATTCGAAAGCTAAAGGGCCATTTCGACTAAACTCCGATTAACTAAATCGTTGATTAGTCCATTAGAAATTACTAATCACATTTTCTCATTAAGCAGATTAGCAAATGCGATTGGTCATTTCTGATGGACTAATCAATTAAGTTAATCAGAGCTTGGTCGAAAAGTGGCCCTAGCTAATTCTTTAGTTATATCCTTTCGTTAAAAGAACGACTTGAATGTTGTCATTACTTCATAAATGTTGACATTAGCTGACGATCAATATTAATTTTTTCTAAACCTGCTCTTTTAATTTCGTATCATTCTCTGCGTCCGTTTTCAAATCACTCGAAAATGAGTTTTTTTTAAATTGTTGTCGCGACGACGTGTGACGAAATAATATCGATTCTGCGGATCGCTATAATGTTCCATATATTTGAATAATTAAATATTTATGTTATTGATTGTGTGCTCTGCACAAAGAATGTGTCGAAAGGCACTATAAGCGATGAGACTTCAACGGGAAACTGTCGATTGTTGGAACAGGTTGAGGAAGAAATCTGTTTGTAAACACAGAGGAGAATAAGAACTTGTGATCCCAAATGTTTGTCAATATACCATCCCGTGTGTACCGTCGCATATCCAGCTCCACAAATCTTGTGCCACGAATTCAATAAAGAAAAGGCGTAACGTGGCAAACTGTACATGGCCATTGGCGATTTAGTAGAGAAAATTGAGAACCAACGATTCAATCGCGAATTCCGATTTAACTCCATTGCCGACGAATTCAACCGAGATCAAATTGCTTACGTCAGAACTTCCGACAGTACGATCCGTCGTCCGTAATCTATAATTTAATTATCAAACAATCAATCGAATTCCGATTTAACTCCATCGACGACGAATTCAACCGAGATCGAATTGCTTACAGGAGAACTTCCGATTGCGCGACTCCTTTGTCCCTAATCTAATTTGTTAAACAATTAATTCTTTTATCTGCGTCAACGAAACGCTATTGACACTGCTCGATAGGTCGATCGATAGTTCGCTGTCTATTGCCATATCAATGCAGATTAACTTTAATCTCGGTTTAATTGATTTTGAAACCAGAAAAAAGGTAAAAAGTAAGTTAAACCGAGATTGAAGTTAATCCAAATTGGTGTAGAAATGAACGTAAGTCGGCTGAACTCGAGATCGAAGTCGTCGCAACTTTTATAATCGTTGCACGAGAAACGGATTCGCTCAGCCAAATCGAGCGGTCTGATTATACGTACTGACGCTTGAAACGTAATAATTTCATCATTAATTATTAATTCCGTTAACCATGTATACGCTTCCATTGTGTTTTGCGTCCACGAATTATCCCCCTGTCTAACCGTCTTGTTTCTACTTAAGTACCCGCTGCTGACACGGTGCCCGAGCTCGAGCGTGAGAGTCGAGAATCGAGGACGAAGGCGCTTGAAAATAGGGAAAAGTAACGGAGCGAGTAACGGGTTGGACATTTATAATGCATCCTGCCGCAGCCGCTCCGAGAGCGTCCTACACGATAGACCGTTCGTCCGCGTAGCGAACGGAGAACGGTCATATAATTATATGCCGAATCGAATGAACGACCAAAGATGAACGCTCGACTCGGGTCGGCGTTCAAAATCCTCGCTCGAGACAGATGTCCGTATCCTCGTGCGGCGACAAAATGCCGCTCTCTAGCACGCCAATCAAAAATTAAAAAAAAAAACCCCCCGAGTGTCCGTCTTACTCGGTAAGGTAATTATTCAAGCGAACGTCACGCTCTCTCTCTCTCTCCCTCTCTCTCTCTCTCTCTCTCTCTCTCTCTCTCTCTCTACGAGGATGAACATTAATTCACGCATAAAAATTCCCGAGCGGCACAAAAAAAATGCGCTGCGTCGAAGGACACGATTATGGGGCAACATTGGCAATTCTGCGATTACGCGTTTTTTTTCTCCCACGAAAAGCGGTCACCGCTGGTCTCCGACGATACCGCGGGGCTACGCAAAGCGTCGTGGAATTTCATCACGCTGAAGACGACGTAGAACGGTGATGCGCATTGTTTTCAGGCTGTTTATCAATTCGCGTGCGGCGTGACACACGTGTCGAGTCTTCTCGGAAGAGCGACACTCATCGCACCGTGTCGCTCTGAATTGAGAGGAGGAGAAACAGCGATGTTCCCAGGATCGGCGACGCGGATTCGGGGAAAAACCGATCGAAAACAGTTTTTCCTTCATCACGAATAGTTTACTTCCAGCTGGAGGATAAACACGCTTCCGGAAAATGCATCGCGAGCCGTTATGCGATCGCAGAGGTGACAACGAGGTGACGTAATCGCGAGAGACATAAAAGACCGAGAATACAAAAGTGAGGCGGTTAATTGTCGCACGAGGAAACGTTCTTCTCCACGAGCCATTCGGTTTGAATCAAACCGAGATGTTGCGCGATCTAAAATTAGATTTCCAAATCCGGATTTTTGTGGAGAGAGTGTGGTCCTCAGGAACTGATTCGAGCCTCAACAATTTTACGGTTGTGTTTGAGTTTAGGGAAATTATGCTAAAAGAAGAGAATTGAACCTGTTCATATATTTGCTAAGATTTCGGCTTAAAAACTACACGCTTGATAATAAACTGGACAATGTTATCGTACGTGCGCATAAATATATTTAATCGTAATTATATGAATCGCTGGTTGAGCACGTGACAGCGTGCGCTTCAGCAGATAAGGATCTTCTCGTCCCCAGATAATGCCGAACCGGGTATTCTTATAATCTTCCAATCATTAATTTTATAATCTCATAATCAATCAATGGCTTCTGCTTTCTGACGAAGGACAATACCAGTCAACGTCCAGTGGTTTGTTTGGGTTCAGAAGTACCGTTAACATATTCAAGCGTATCTCAGTTGATTTTCTATTCACGCCGGAGTAAATGATTTTATATTAATAAGAACGATACTGAGTTTATAGTATTTAAGAGAAGAAAATCAACGTAGCTTATTATTGAGTTTGAAAACAATAACAAAAGTCATACGATATTATTATTAGATTATCAAAAGCTCCAGTCCCGTAAAAGGTTTTTCTCTCTAATTGATTGCATATTTATAACGGTCCTCTGTTTCACTTATTCTTAGTGTTGAATTTATAGCATTGATTTGCATAAAAATATCTCAGACAGAGCGATGTCCAAAATTGGGACACAAGACGTCATTAAGACGATTTAATGACGCCTCGTGCCCCAATTTTAGACATTGTGCTGTCTGGGACGATATATGATACTTATTTGACAGTCGTTCCGTGACAGTCACTGACGATCGATAAAACGAAAAAGCTCAGGGTGTCGGTCACCGGTCGGGAAAATCAAATCAAGGAAGGTCAATTTTAGATCAAGTTCGCTCGCGCGCGATACTGTGTGGGGTGTCGATCGTCGGTCGCGGGACGTTCGCGAGCGAGAAGGGGGAAAAGATAGGCGACGTGGGTAGGGAGTTCGGCGCGCTTCGGAAGCGCGGTTCCGCGAAGCGGTATATTACCGGCGCGCGATGACTCGCCGCGGCAAACACGCGCCGAGCCGTATCGCGGGAGGAGGAGAGGATTGCCTCGCGTCGCGTCTCGCGTCACCGTCGCGGCTTATTACACGGCCCGGGCCCGCGCGCGCATCATCGTCGCCGTCCTCGCTACCGCGCCGCTTACGTAAGTCGCGATCTGCTTTTTTTTTCACGAGGCACACTCCCCGCGGGAGACTTAAAGACGTCGGGGAGAGCTGCTGATCGGCCAGATACGATTGTCGGCGCGAGTGCGACGAGAGGATAAAACAAGGATCTTCGGAATTTCTTCCTCGGAATTTCGAGGGATCGAATGCTATCGTTTCGCGCGAGCAGATCACGCCGTGGCATGGTGACCGACGGCGGCCCTTTCATGTCAGCGCGACGCCACCACGGGACAGCGTCGTGGACCCCGCCGACGCGCGTGCACGCGCGGATAACCGGGTCGCCGCCGCACAAGAGTCACGGCCGGGCGGTGCAGGACGAGTGCAGGACCCCGACGGCGGAGGATGCGATCGCGCGCGCTTAAATCGCCGCATCTCGCAGCACGAGTGATATTATGTACGTATCGAATCTTGTATCGCGCGCGCGCCGTGCCGAGAGAAGGCGCGACGACGAGCGGTTTTGAATTTTTCCGCGTTAAAACGGCGGGAGCTTAGGCGCGCGCCGTGAACCTAGACAGGTGGATAAAAGAGGGACAGAAGGGAGGAGCGAGGAGAGGGAAAAAACGTCGCCGCCGCCGCCGCGCGCGATTAATTCGGCCGTGTTCGCCGAATTAACCCCCCTTTCGCGAGAACGCGCGCGGAACGGAACTTTCGCCGGCGGGAGTCGCGCGTC